AGCCATCGAGCAACTGGATGGTTCATAGTTTCTCACTTCTCTCAATTCACCTAAGGTCTTTAGGTGACATCCACTTCTCTTCCAACTGATGAACTTCACATACCACGGCTTCTTAAAATATATTGCATTAAAGTGCTCATAAGTGACATGTTTCCAGATGGATATTCTGAAGTTCTAATGAGAAGCTATGACCTTTGGGGTCAACCGGTAGAAATGGAAGCTAATACTATCTGAAGACCTTGCGTGATACTCGCTCTATATTGTGAATTGAAAGGAGTGGGAAACTGTGAACCATTGAACTCCGACTCAGTGGCTGGGGATGGCTAACGCGTTCACCGTGAAACCTAAAAATCCTGACTTCTATCCATAGTAGGTGAGGTCGTGGTTGTGTACTTCTGAGCAGTTCCATGCTAGGACGAAACGGATGTCCAGTGACCCCAGGTTTTCAATAGCACTCCAACTTATGCTAGTCCATTATAAATTATTATTATTATTTATTTATTATTAGCCCCTTGGGTTCCTAATAGAACATAGGGCTTCAGTAGCACGTCTCAGTGCACTATGTTCTCTGAAATCTTTCCAACCTCGCTCCACGACAGCCCACAAGCTCTCATTTCCTCCTTGCACGATCTCCTCCATGTCACCCTCACCTGGAACGCCCAACTCGTCGCTCCCCATGGGGATTCCACTCGAGCAACTGGCCTGACTCGTGATGTCCCCAGTCGGCCTTCTCAATGTATGCCCAGTCTAATCCATCCACACTTCCTTCTGCATATTTGTTCAGTGATAGGTTCTTGCTTCGTTGGTTCATTACCAGCCAGAGTTGCTTGTTGCTTATTCTCGTTATTCTGGCCATCTGATCTTCAGTAGCGAGCGTAAGCAGTTGTTGATGAATGTCTGTAGTTTATTGGAAATCCCTTTCGTAACGCGCCAAGTTCTCAACCATACAGAAGCACTGACTTAACTGATGTTGGTGTTCAAAATCCGGATCTTGTTCAACATGCTGAGTGCAGAAGATCTCCACACTGGTTTCAGTCTAATGAACGCCTGTCTTGCTTTTCCGATTCTGACTTTGACATCCTCGTCTGTACCACCTGTAGTTGAAACAGTGCTTCCTAGATAGGTGAAGGAGGTTACTTCCTTTAAGTTTCTTCCGTTGATGGTTATTGGAGCTTGTTGTTGTTGGTTGGGTATCTTCATCACCTCTGTCTTCTCTATATTCACTTGAAGTCCCGTCTTCGCTTCCCTGCCTCACCTCTTCTGTCAACTTGTTAGTTTTCGCCTGTACATCTTCCAGTTTGTGCGACATTTGACATAAGTCATCGGCGAAATTCAAGTCTTCTAGGTTCTTTTCCACAGGCCAGCATATCCCCCTCTTCTCGCTCCCCACTGTTTGTTGCATGATCCAGTCGACTGCAATCAGGAATATCATGGGGGACAATAGGCAACCTTGTTTCACTCCAGTCTTCAATTCAAAAGCATCACTGAGCTTCCCTTTGTGAATTACTTGGCATGTGGCATCTTCATATAGTTGTTGAATGAAATTGATAAAGGTTTACGGTATTCCGTAGTATTGAAGCAGTCTCCAAACTACCTCTCGGTCGACGCTGTCAAAGGCCTTCTCAAAGTCGATAAAGTTGAGGTAGAGTTGAGTTGACTGCCATTCTACGCTCTGTCCTATGATGATACGAAGCGTTGTAATTTTTTCGCACATGATTTGTACTTCCTGAATCCAGCCAGCCTGTTCCTATCGTAGTTTTAAATCCAGTGCATCCATTAGTCTCTCCAGGATGGTGAGGCTTAATATTTTGCTTGCTTGGGTGGACAGGAGAGTGATTCCGCGCCAGTTCTTGCAAACACAGGTCTCCCTTCTTCGGGAGTTTGACAAGGTAACCCTTCTTCCAATCAATAGGCAGGTACCTTCTCTTCCTTCCAGACCTTCTGCAATAGTGGTGTGAGCATGTCCGCTGTTGTCTCTGTGTCTGTTCTCAGTGCTTCTGGCGGGGTTCCATCTGGTCCTGCTGCTTTCCCACATTTCAGTAGCTTTATGGCGTTCAGGACTTCCATTTTCGTTGGGGGATTTATGTTCACTTGTAATTCAGCGGCTGCAGGTGGTATTTCTGGAAGAAGTGCAGGTGGTGGTGGTGGTCGATTCAAGAGCTTCTTGAAGTGGTCGGCCCATCGTTTCCTCTGTTTCCCTTCTTTCGTAATTAAATTTCCTTCTTCATCTTTTATTGGTTTCATCTGTGTTGATCTCTTCCCTGATAGCAACCTGGTTATTTGATACAATGTCGTCAGGTCTCTCTTACCTGCAGCCTGTTCTGCTTCACTTGCCAATGTATCGCAGAAGTGTCCTTCGTCTTTGCGTGCACTCTTCTTCACTTCTTTGTTCAGTGTTTTATACATTGTGCTCAGTTCCTCTTGTCGTTGAGCATCCTTGCACTGCACTGGTTGATCTTCTGCTTCACCATCCTCCTCTCCCTTCTCTATCAGCTTCCATGTATCCGTCGAGATCCATTCCTTATCTTCCTTCTTCTTCCTTCCTAATACTGTTGTGCAGGTTTCTTTCCACATAGCTTTCAAAGACTTCCAGTGTTCTTCCATGCAGGTTTCTTCAGGGATGTTTCTCGATATCTCCCATTTTGTCTTCATGGCTGACGTGAAGATTTCCTTTGCAGTTTCGTTCTTCAGTTTCCGAGTGTTGTACTTGAACTGTGGTGTATCACCAACTTCCTTGAAGGCTTTTAACTTGATTTGGAAGGTTTCTCGAACTAGACAGTGAGTGGTCTGAACCTACATCTGCTCCTCTTCTTGACCTTGTGTCAAGTAGGCTACGTCTCCACTTTCTTGAGATTGAGATAAACTTGATCTGACTTTTAGTGGCCATCTGGCGAAATACATATCGCTTTGTGGATATCCTTGTGTCTGATGTCGCACAAACTGGAAGATGTACAGGCGAAAACTAACAAGTTGACAGAAGAGGTGAGGCAGGGAAGCGAAGACGGGACTTCAAGTGAATATAGAGAAGACAGAGGTGATGAAGATACCCAACCAACAACAACAAGCTCCAATAACCATCAACGGAAGAAACTTAAAGGAAGTAACCTCCTTCACCTATCTAGGAAGCACTGTTTCAACTACAGGTGGTACAGACGAGGATGTCAAAGTCAGAATCGGAAAAGCAAGACAGGCGTTCATTAGACTGAAACCAGTGTGGAGATCTTCTGCACTCAGCATGTTGAACAAGATCCGGATTTTGAACACCAACATCAGTTAAGTCAGTGCTTCTGTATGGTTGAGAGACTTGGCGCGTTACGAAAGGGATTTCCAATAAACTACAGACATTCATCAACAACTGCTTACGCTCGCTACTGAAGATCAGATGGCCAGAATAACGAGAATAAGCAACAAGCAACTCTGGCTGGTAATGAACCAACGAAGCAAGAACCTATCACTGAACAAATATGCAGAAGGAAGTGTGGATGGATTAGACTGGGCATACATTGAGAAGGCCGACTGGGGACATCACGAGTCAGGCCAGTTGCTCGAGTGGAATCCCCATGGGGAGCGACGAGTTGGGCGTTCCAGGTGAGGGTGACATGGAGGAGATCGTGTGAGGAAGAAATAAGAGCTTGTGGGCTGTCGTGGAGCGAGGTTGAAAAGATTTCAGAGAACATAGTGCACTGGAGACGTGCTACTGAAGCCCTATGTTCCACCAGGAACCCAAGGGACAAATAATAATGTAATATAAAACTATTAGCGTTGGTTAGTCAAAATATTTGTTTATAGAGTCCTGCGAACAAGTTAGAGGCAGAACTGAACACTGTTGAAAGGTGTCTTAAAGAGAAAAGGATATTCTAAGAGATTTATTATGAAGTAATGAAAAGAACACATCAAGTGAAACAAACACCCTAGTGTGGAAAAGAAGATGGTTTTTAGACATCTTACATTCAAGGGAGTTGCAATATACAAACAAATAGACGCAAGAATCAAGAGAGCACTGAGAAGGAGCTTACTTGAAGCAAAACTTATATCAGTATACAACATCACATACTCGCTTAACCAATCAAAATTGGATAATTACTCTGTTCATAACACCTTCAACTCTATCTATGAATTCACATGCATTTCAGGTAGAAAATACATTGGAAGAGCATCCATTCGCTTACCTGAGCATATCTCCAATAATCTATACCTGAAAGGAAGTAAAATTCTAACCGGTCAAACTGACAAACACCTTGTAGATATAGGAAATCAGGTTGAAACCTCCATTGCTTTTACGATAATCAACATGTAGGGAATATGTGGATCACTACACTTTGAAGAAATGATTGCAATGAAGTGGTTTCAACCTGACATTTGTATACAGAAGGAGAGTATGATTAATCTCTCATTCCCTTGATGAATATGATTTGATCGCATTTCAAATGAAGACTCTATATTGCAGTCGTCGAGCAAAACTCCTGATAATTAAAGTAAAATAAAAATCTAGTCAGGCGTCTGACCTTGTATGTCAGTTGGTAGGACGTAGGGTCGGACATCTAATGATCACTAGTTTGAATCTGCTCGCGGTCCAAATTTTCATTTTATGTTCTAATATCTGTCAAACCGCAGATATCTCATATAGTGAAAATGAAGATGGACGAAGGTTTTTTCTGGCCAAAGCAGAGACTAGGTTTGGTTTCTTCACTTCCTATAGCCTTAGCTATGTGTAAAATGAGAGTATGAATTATATTCGAAAGATTTCGTGGAATGTGACAGATGATTTTGAAAGCTTTGGTGTTGTCTGTTACATGACCACTGTCATGACTGTAGGTGGGCAGCAGCAGGTTGGTAACTAGTAGGCTGAACGGTATTTGATGTTGATGCATGTTTAACTTTTATTCACATGACACTAGTCACCATAAAACCCAAAGAACAATGTTACTGTACTAAAGTGATCCCAGACGAAATATATATCTATTATTTATAAAGTGATATTTTCTTCATTTTATTTACAGAATATACTGACTGCTTATGAACCAGATGATAGCATCAGAGGTAGTGAAGAGAGAAGGCAAGATGGAGCTTTGCTGAAAGGTAGCACTTATTGCTAAGCCTATCTATGAGTTAAAATTCTTTAAAAAAATCAATGAATACCTGTGAGCAGGACTCCTAAACTCCGTTCTTCATATGGCTTTGGATATATACTATTAAAGAGCCCAAAACTAGGATGAAATAATTGTTCAGGAGTCTCATTCAATCAATGGTTCTGAAGTTGGTGTCAAAATATAGATATATTCCGTATTAGATACGTCTGTTCAGCTGCACTGATGAGGATGTCTGGCTTGATACTGAAACATTTTCCAGGCAGACATAAAAGCTTGTAGTTTACTGAGCTATCGATTTGATAAACTGAGTTCAGGAATAAAGAATCAATGTGTATCCCTTTCACTAGTTGCTTAGTTATCCGGTATGCATATTTGTCAACTAAATGTTTGTGTTTTATAGGATTTCGCTATTCTTTCAAGAATATTTATCAGGAAATCTAAGTTTACCTCGTAAATGATGGGGGTTTTGAACCTGTGACCAAATGATTTCAGTTTATTCAATCTTTAGATTATGATGTTAGTTATCACCTTTCTTGCAGTGAGTTTTTGCTATCGCTGTCACCTTCTCCCCACTGAATAAACGTGGCAAGTTGGACTGATGTACTTTTATGAGAAGTCCTATAGTGTTAGATGTATCTTTCTATGTGTCCAGCCAGGTAAATACCAATAAAATGGAATGTTATGTACCTGAATATCTACCACACTTAACATTAACACATCATAGTGCAGAGATGCTGACAAGGAGAATAGGTCAGGAATCCCATTTAACTGAGATCTTCGAATTGCCCTACAAGAATCCAGCTGACAGTCAGTCCATCAGTGAAAATATATTTCTTTCGTTTAAAATAGGCTCGGAACAACAGCTTTACCACAAGAATAGTTCTTCATCAGCTGTTTACAATCGAAAACAATTTTAACATCAATTTATAACCAAATTTTTGTCATACTTGAATCAATTTGATCGAGAAATAAAGATAACATTGATATGACATAATTGAAGGCACGAGGATTAATTAAAAGTTTATCAATATCTAAGAAGGATTAGATGTTTATTCTACAGTGGAAATTGAACAAAACAGACAGAAGAGATAAATACATTCAGGATATTGAAGAAGGTTGTGCAAGCTACACGTGAAGAGATCAGAGGATTAACATCGGTTAGGAAAATAAGATGAGTATAATTCAGATATTATGGTCAAGGAAGTGATGTAGATTGATTATAAATATGTATGAATCGATAATGATATGGAAAGACACTGGGATTATCCACAATGCCCAACCATTTTACTATGCTAGACACAGACTGATAACTGTTACTTTCTTGGAGTTGATTATTTAATGGCTACAGCTTCAGGGAAATACAATAAATTGAAACTCATCTGTTTATCAACCCTTTTAAAGGATTTTTGGATATCAGTTTCATGTCAACTATTATCAATAAGATGACGAGTAGTAGTGGTGTTGAAGACTTCCCCATCTCTTAGTTGTAAACTCCTTAAGATATGCAAACACAATCACTTTTTCTGTTCTTCTTGTTATATACATGTGAATTGGTGGTAACATGAGGAGGAGAGGACTTGTCAAACTTCGATTGCCACAGTATGAAACTCACTTCATAAAGTGAGATTAACCTAGCAGCTAGGAAAAAGTTCTCTATATGACAATATTTATTCTACAATAAATCCTCCCGGAAACATCATCACCTTTGGAGTTAAGAACCGACTAGTGAAGCATACGTCAGCTTTCTTTGAGCAATATGAATTTAGCTAATTAGTGATGGTGGGTAGTGGTTAGCAGTGGGATCCAAGATGCACATCTCGTCCTATTTGGGATTCATTAAGTGGACGTACCTGCTTCCCAGTGAGTGATGCTATTTCTACGTGGATTCGAACTCAGGAGCGATCACTTCAAACGCTAGAGCGTTATCCATTAGACCACCGAGCCTTGACAGCCACTTCTTATGCGATGGATACAGTTATAGTGTTATTGTTTGAGTCCCAAATAGGACGAAATGTGCATCCTGGAATCCACTGCTAGCCACTATCCATCATTAAATATTTAAGGTATCTTATGCCATTATTACTACTACTAATATTTCATTTCAATTGCAGGCTGTTTGCAGCTGATGAAAGACCATGAAATGAAATTGAACTGATTTTATGTTGTTGCAAATGTCTTTGTCCTTGTATTTTTCAGATCTGTATAATTATTCTGATCATCATGTCGATGGACAGTATGAATAAGTACTTCTCCTGGAAGATCTTGTTATCAATAAGTTGAATTTCTCCACACACATGTTCCTATACTGAAGATTGATTTTGTCTTAAATCCTACACAACTGTCTACTCTTCTACTGACTGATCGACTGACTTTATGTTAAATTTTGTAGATTGATATCTTGACACCTGGTGAAACGATTGAATATGTATGGTCCAACTTGTTTCAGGGAGAAAATCCACTTGGATTTTGTAAAATTAGTAATTTTTTATGGTATAATTGCTTGTATTATACCGTCGTTAAGTGGACCGGATTCATCTATCTCTATTGACATAAGGGCTCCCGCTCGGATGCATCGATACTGCCTGTGTTTGAGTTATAGATCAATGATGGATAGTGGCTAGCAGTGGAATACAACAACATTAGAACTACTTCCGTCGCACAAGAAGTGACTGTCATGACTCAGTGGTCTGGTGGATAACGCTCTGGCGTTTGAAGGAATCAGTCTTAATGGGGACAACATGGGTCACCTGGGAGCAGGTACACCCAAGTGATGAGTTCCAAATAGGACGGAAAGTGCGTCCTAACCATTATCCATCATTAGTATATAACTCAAACATAGGCAATATCAAGGCATTCGCGCAGGAGCCTATGTCACTAGAAACTCATCAATTCGGTCCAATCAACGACGGGATTCTATAAGCAACAACATTAATATATAGACAGTATGTCCCAATAACTAGAATTAACACGCAATAATCCTGATACGGTTAAACTCGGTGAACAGATTTCTTGGATAGTATGGTGAAACACCAGAAATTTACTTCCATGCTAACAATATCTAATCGGTTGGATACATTAAGAATGCTTAAAATATGCGTTTCTCACTAACCGAATGCAAACTGTTGCTTCAGAGCTGGTTGAGAGAGTTGACCAATTGATTCACTTGCTTTGAATGTCATAGGTGACCAACAGAATACCGACATACACACACACACACAAGACTCCATTGGTTCTTACAAACCATTGCTAACTATGGGATAGGCGAGATATCCAACTATCATCTACTAAGGGTCGAGTTTACTATACACTAGTTCGTTCTGTCTGATAACAAAGGCAGATGACATTAGAGGGCTTCAGATGTTCGACCAGTATCGTCTCAGAAGCTGTCACCACGACTTAAGAGACACAGAAGTTCTGTGCGAAAGAAGCATTCAACAGCGCTATTGTTCATCACTCTATTGATGATAGTGGATGTGAAATTGAGATCCAGAAATCGCTGAAAATACTTAAAACTTATTGTTTCGCTGAAGTGGTTAGCCATCAAACAATTAACACCGAAGTTATATATTCAGAAATCAACAGTTATCATTCTATGACCTACCATGGTAAAATGTTTATGTGTGGTTGACAGTCACAACATCTTTCTGTATCATTATGGATTCTTAAACATTTTAGAAGTTTAAAATTCTCCAATAAAACAAAAGATGTTTAGCATAGAGTTACTTATCTCAGTGATGTCTTTCTTCAGCTGTACAATCGGATAAGAGCAAAGTAATGTTTCATAAAGTATTCTCTTTAAACAAAATTCAATTCAGTAGATCAGTAAAAGAATTACATAATATTCGAAATAGATAATGAGAAAGAAACTTATCAAGACCGAAGCAATATTATTTAGTTACTAAGCTAACTAACTGATGTAACATGATGGTTAAAGGTGGCTGATGAATGTAATGAGAAATCAAAACTATAAGGATAAGGATAATGTGTCATATGTACAAAGATATGAAAGAAAACATTTCAAAGGTGTTATCTTATCTTATAGATGATGTACATTTCAACTCAAGTGACTAGATAAATTTCTTTTGAATACAGAGTTCAGATTGTAAAATATTTATTAGCATGAATTCTGTAGTTAGAAGCAGAAGTTTTAAGTGTACACCCTTTACTAGATTTAAACAAAGTCTATAGATGACACTGAAATTGTTTTCTACATTTATATCAAATGTTCTAAAATAGTGGTGCCATTTGAACTCCTTTCTCCTTTATAGAATCAGGCTAGTCTATGTTTGAAAGGTACATTTGAAAATTGATCACTGAATACACCTAATATATTACTTGAATCTTGATAAGTTTTCTTCTTATTACTATTTCAAACATTAAGCATTTCATTTTTTGATCTCCTGAACTGAATATTAGTCAAAAAATATCTTATGAAATATTCTTTTTCTGTTACCATGTGAATAGAGTATTTATGAGCCATTATACCTATTTATCTGTTATTCCATATCACTTCGATGACCTCAATGTCTTGATTCAAATCATCTTACTTTCTTAGTTGGCATAAATTTTTTGGCCTGTTTTGCTCAATATGTAGAATAAATCTGTCTCTCCCTCCAACTTCCTCTCTTTCTTATTATACAAACAAATCCCGAAAATTTTCTGAATTGTTAACGCGTAGATGCATACTGTTGAGGAGTTCGTTACTAGGACGAAACATTTGTTCCCCAACTGATATCACTCCGTAATGAATACTACCTCAAGATTTCCTATTACTTCTTATATATATTTATGCACCCTATTCGTGTATTTTCAATGACGTCATGTCAATATAATCTTTTACGTTGTCAAGGCGAAAATTTCCTATCAGACTGACTCAAGTATACAAACATTTTGATCAAATTAACATCAGTTGGAGAACCAATGAAGACCTGGGAGCACTGTACAACTGTCTCGTCCCAATGTAAGACTCTTCAGCAGTACAAACCCACGACCTCGTCCGCCAGTAATCGAACTCAGGAGTTTCAGGCTTCACAACGATTACGTTCATCAACCAGCCACTGGGTCAAAATCCAATGGTTCACAGTTTCTTATTTCTTCTGATTCACCATGGAGAGTATTTGTAGTTCAGGAGGAGGATTTTTACTGATGGTATCTTCTTTAAGCTGGATGATTCTCATTGTACACAACTATATCATCACACTTCACTGCTAGTTGATGTTCAGGTAAACAGATACGAAGAGAATGACCACTCTGTCTGGAGTCTACAAAGTCCAGTTACTGAAATTGATTTTTAATCGTTTTCACCATCGTAAAACAACTTTTCAGGATATCCTATCAACCTCACATAAAAATTGTTACTAACTAATCTCCATTCAGTTTGTTTTAAGAGAAAGCCAACCACATAGCTTTTCCTTGTGAATAGGTTTTCTCTGAAGAGTGTTATACTAGTCAGACATACTGTTATGTGTTTATTGAAGGGTATCTTCTGTTACCAGCTTTTAAGAGAAAAAGTAGTGATTATCACTAATGTAAAGGTCCGTGTATAGAAGCACAACGGCCCAACCAAAACACTATTAAAAACCTACCAGCTTTGCATAGTTGACTCAACCTAATCAGTGTGCAATTAGGAATCTGTGGGGGATAATACATAGAACCACCATCTGTTGCTATCAGCATGCTACCGTTTGGTGGTTTACATTCTTGTATTTCTGTAAATTTACGATATATACACCTGATTATTATCATTACTATTACTATTATTTGTCCTTTGGGTTCCTACTGGAACATACAGCTTCAGTGGCACGTCGCCATTTCACTCTCTTCTCTGCAATCTTTTCAATCTGGCTCCACCACTACCAATAACCTTTCATTTCTTCTTCACATGCTCGCCTCCAGGTCACCTTGAGACACCCAACTCGTCGTTTCACACTTGGGTTCCATTCTAGGACCTGACCTGGCGTGTGTTGTTTCCCAATGGTCTTTTTAGTGTATGTCCAATCCAATCCAATCCATCTCCACTTTCTTCTTCTATACATTCGTTGGGCGATAGGTTCTTCATCAATTGGTTCCTTGCCAGCCAACCAGAGTTCCTTGTTGCTTATTCTTCTTCTTATTCTGACCATCTGATCTTCAGTGTGAGTATCGAGTGAGCAAGCGTGGGCGTCAATGTTGATGAATGTCTGCAGTTTTATGGAAATGCTTTTCGTGATGTGCGAAGTCTCTCAACCGTCATATGGAAGCACTGCCTTACTTGACTGAATCAGTGTTGAAAATCCGGATGTTGTTCATGCATTATATGTTGAGTGCAGTGCAGTGCAATGCAGTTGATCTCCACACTGTCTTGCTTTTCCGATCGTGGCTTTGACATCTTCATCTGTGCCTGTGCTTGGTGTATTTGAAAGTATGGTGCTTAGGAGGAAGGGTGAAAGAGACAACATGCTTTAGATTTCTGGCGTTGATGGTGATTGGTGTTTGTTGTTGTTGTTATTGGTTGGGGATCTTCAGCACCTCTGTCTTCTCTACCTTCACCTCAAGTCCCGTCTTCCTTAGCTGCCTTGCCTCTTCTGCCAACTTCTTAGTTTCCACCTGTACATCTTCGAGTTTGTGCAACACGACATTAGACATAAATCATCATCGACAAAATCCAAATCTTCTTCTAGGATCTTTCCATCCGTCAAACAGCGTATGCTTCTCTTCTCGCTCCTCACAGTTTGCTGCATCATCCAGTGCATGATCCAGTCGACCACAATCACGAAAGTCATTGGGGATGTTAGGTCGCAACTTTGTCTTACTCTTGCCTGTCTCCACTTCAAACGTATCACTGAGCTTTCTGTTGTGAATCACTTGGCATGTAGCATGTGGCATATAGGTGCTGTTGAATGAGGTTGATAAAGGTTTGTGGCACTAAATCTGGAGTGTTGAAGTAGCTGCCAATATATATACCTGATAATTGTATCCAATTGTGTTCGATTTGTTCATCTAGCCACCTTGAATACAGTGGAATTGACTAGTGAGTCAGTGGAGAAAAGTTGTCAACCACTGCGTCCTAAACAATTTCGGGTAAATGAAAAAGTTACCACTTATCCAGTACAGGTGAGCAAAGAAAATTATCTCATATGAATATTAATATTGTTTTTATCAACTTTTGATACTGCTTAATTATTAACTTGTGAACGGGCTAATATTGTTTGGAGAAGTATTGGAAACCTTAGAGCACTCACTGGATATCTGCTTCGTGATAGTAGTACAGGACTCTTCAGCAGCCCACACTCATCGTCCTGCCAGGGATCGAGTCCAGGACATTCAGGTTCCTTGGAGATCATGTCACCATTGAGCCAGGCATTGGATCAGAGTCATACAGTCCACATTTTACTACTTCTGTCATGTCAGCTCATGATGTGGTACAATCTCCATCCAATGCCGTTGTTGAATTAATGTCCTCACGTCTGACTTGGTTTACTCCACCGATCACGTGTGGATTGTAATTGTCGGTCACTGGATTTAACTGGGTGAAATGTCACTATGTAATTCTATTTCATGATGCAATAACACTGGTTTCGACTTTTATTATCATGTATAACATAGAATCCTGGTGAATTGGTTAGTTCTTGAAGTTTCATGAAATGTTAGTCATCTGACTGATTGGAGACAGTGGAACTTATCAATCACAGTGACTGACTGACTGACTGAATGAATGAATGAATGACTAAATCAACGTAGAACCTTTCACACAGCTGCATCACTTCAAGTTGCCACATTCCACAGTAGTATACAATGAATAAGTCGATAGAATAAGAGTGATATCCAAAGTAGGGATGTAAAACTTGGGAACTATGATGGAATGTAATCCCATATTAGATTTGTTTATTTGATTTATAACACACAGTGATACAGTAGTATTTACTTGATGACCACATTTCCAGCATAAATTATCATCCCCCTTAATCATATCAAATGAAGTAATCACACCACTTTCGATATCTGACTCATACAGTCCTGTCACCTGATATGATTTGTTCTTTCTTATTGGTAGTAAAATTATCCATATCTCTGGTTTAGGTGTTGCATCATTTCTACTACATGTGTTGGGTTGAGTGTTGATTCGATGAAGAAAGATTCAGTAATCAATCCCCCTCTCTCTCTTTTCACCTAATTGTATTCGACAGTAGAGTACAGTACAGTTCAGTGGTTTTATCCCACCAATTGCAATAGTACGATATTTTTCTAGATAATTGATCTTATTCGGGTCTATCATTCTATATTTAGCTAAATTCCTATGTTTGGCTATTCTAACAGAGCCCGACTGGCTAGTTCGACGAATGTACTTGACTTTACAGTCATTATCTGGATTATTTTGCTCAGTTGGTTCCATCGGATTCTTGAGCCATCCGACAAAGCTTATCTATGAGTGAGTTTGTAGATTTAGATGCCAACTTAGTTCCAGGTTTGTTGAAGATCCTACGTAAAGTTTCTGATGTACCTTCTTTATAGGTTAACACAATGGAGGCTGTGAACTTCTTTCTACTCATGTTGTCGTTGCTATTCATAGTCGTATTACTGTTATTATTTCATTTCTTATGTGTTGGTGAGAATTTTTTAACAAACTGTAGGGCATAATTACTAGCTGTTAGTGCTTCTTTTATGTGCTTCAGTCCCTTGTTTAGGTCCTTACACTGACTAATCAGTTTTCTAGCTTTATCACCTAGACATTTGGCTAAACTTGCCTTAACTGACTGACACTGGATGAGATGATTTGAAGTCTACATACCTGTTTGAATATGTTGATCTCAACATAGTGTTGAAATCGGATCCTGAACATAGTTGGAATCAGGTTAGCTTTTAAACCTACAAACTCAAAGATAAGCAAAATAATCTAATCCGCCGAATTCCGTACAATGACTGTGAGGTCAACAGTATTGGTCAAACAGGCCGGTCTGGGTCTGTTAGATTAGTGGAACGTAGGAATTTAGCCAAATATAAAATGACAGACCCGAATAAGATCAATTATTAAGAAAAATCACTCAGTTATAGCAATGCATAAATTAACACACAACCGCACAATAGGATGCGTGGAATAAAACCACTTTACTATACTGTCCAATACAAAGAGAGAGGGGGATTGATAACTGAATCTTTCTTCATGGAATCAACACCCAACACATGTAACAGGAATGATTCAACACCTAAGCCAGATGTATGGAAAATTTTACTACTAATAAAAACATAGAATATGAGGTAACCGGACTATATAGTTCGGATATCGAAAGGAGTGTGATTACATTGATATCATTATGAGCATTGATCGTTTTTACTGGAAAGGTGATTTTCAAGTATCACTCACTTTGTGTTATAAATCAAGTAAACAATTCTAATATGATTTCAAAGTAAACATTGTTGTGCGAGAGAGTAAACAATCTGAAGATAAAGGTTAGTATGAATATTGAAGCTTAAGAAGATGCCAAGGAGTGAATACATCTACGCCATTGTGACCAATTTCCAGCTATATCACCAAGAGTCCTCAGTCAAATATTTCTTTCATCTTAAGGATCCCAACCAGATAGTCTACATCTCCTGACACAGCTCAGGCTGACATTAAGAGATTCATAGACTGGTGCTATATCTTGGTCTTGCCCTTCTTAACCTATTTCCACCCTAATCCAGCTTTCCCTAGCATGATACTTCAAGGTAGTCTATGACTTGGCATATTCAACACGTGTCCAAGTTACCTTAATCGACTTGCCATTCTTGCCTTGGTACGCTTCACCTGACCTCGACATTGTTCACATAATGATTTCACCAAATGCCATCAATGATACGAAGACATCTATGATCGAAGATGCTTTCTACTTTTAACACCCATATCTCATAGCTGTATAACAGAAATGAACGGACGCTAGCGCAGTATACTCAGTTACAGTTACGTTAGATCTTCTATTTCTGATTATTGATGGTCTTTAGGACTGAGACGGTTTGTACTGATGTCGTACTATTGCCTTTGATGACATCCAGATTTCGATAATCAAAGTAATAACATTTAATAACAACGTATATATACGTTGAAGATATGGTTATAGCATCTTCATAGGCTTTTTAGGCAACTCTGTAACGTTTGCAGTGAAGGATATTAAATTCAAAAGATTATCAGAAAAAGGGAACAAGTGGAATTGAGAATAAAAGTTCTGTGTTTTTGATTCTAGTTTTGTGCTAGTTGGCATTCATCAGCAACATATATTTGCAACTATGTATAACTTGGATTTCTTTCAGTGACCCGTACCCCCTATAGAAGGTTGTATTAAGTACATAAGTTGGTTAACAGTTGGTAATTGATGTAACTGTCTACTCTTTTGTCATCAAACCTGATAAAAGTCATTCGATGAAGTTTTGCAATATGGTCATGAAGTGAAACGACACGAAAGTGCAGCGCACTACATTTAAGTGGTAAATGGGGAGAATTAACCGGTAATCAGTCTGTATTCTTCCGCTGATCACTACTAAATGATATCAAGACGATTCCATACCTGACCTGAAATATTATTTGAGCAAAAAGCTATGCGGTGATTAGATGACATCCGTTACTTTGAATCTTTAGTCACCCTGTATGTGTAGACCAGTGTTGTACATTCACTTTACTTAAGACACATAAGTTTCTGTTCAAGAATTTACTTTACTACATTGGAAATATGGAAACTGTACAAGCTTAATTCCAAGCTATACTGACCTTGGTTTTTTGGAGTGGAATGCAGGACACGTGTTCTGTCCTGCTTGTGACTCGTCAGTTGGATGTGTCTGAACCCCAGCGAGTGTTGTCCTCATGGGGGCTCAAACTTATCTCCTTCCGCTCCAAACGTCACAGCAATATTGACTAAGCCAGTGAGGGACGATGGCAGCCTCTTTTGCAACGGGTGTCAGTTGTTATATGCTATATAGGACCGAATTGCTCGACTTCTGTTGGCAGATGGGCTCCTATGTGGATGCCTCGAAACTACTGGATATTCACGATGCACAAGAAGTGATTATCGTCCCCCAGTGGCTTAATAGATAACACTATGGTGTTTGAAGTGGAGGGTAGTTGATTCGAACCCTGGTGGAAACAAAACCACTCACTGGGGTGCAGGTATATTTAGTTGACGAGTCCCAAATAGTATGAAACGCACATCCTGGATTCCTCTGCTAATCACTAACACCAATATAACATCCGGCAGTATCAAGGTATCCACATAAGAGCCCATCTACCAACAGAGGTCGAGCAGTTCGATCCTGTATAAAAGCGGTGAATTATATATATCATTACAATAATTTCATGTGTTTAAATGGAGATTCCATTTTTTTCGAACTAATAATGTTGCACAATTGTCTCATAAAGCATAAAAATTATTAAGATGACGATTTTGGATCAGTCAGCCGCTGTAAACACTAGATATTCTGATGATTAATCGACGTATTAAAATGATAAATTTGATCGGTACTCTAAAGATTAGACATCTAAACCAATTATCCACTGATAAATGATCTGTGTACATAATCCAGTCCTACTGAAGGTCACTTATGCCCTGAGTGGCTCACTGATTAAGCCTATGGCTTGAATGCTGACGTTTACATTATCAAGAGGAAACGCTTTGTTGACCAGTGCTGACAAGCACAAAACCTATGTTGAATGGATCTTTCTGCCAATTGACCTCTAGAATACAATGAGCTGCAGTAATGTTTCACTTAACTATGTTGGTCAGATTATAAAATGTAACCAACATAAATATACTATTTAACAACTTCAGTAGTTGGAAATCGGTGAGGCTGACCTATAGATTTCGCTAGCTAGCCAGATGAGAAGAATGATCTAGGCACCGAACGCATATTTCACTTGTTTCGGGCTTAGCTGGTCAGCCCTGCACTCGAACGAATTAGGCTCACAAAGCTGAATTATTGTTCAAATAACCTAAATCTGACTAACTGACTTACATGGACCAGTGTACCGGAAATAGGATGACTGATTTACTAATAATTTACAAATTGAACGCTTCATCTTGGTATTTTTCACAGCTGAGTAGTTTTTCAACCGTCCAATTATGGTTCCAGTCAACAGGGTTTCTATTGAAAACTACTCCACAGCCAAGATGAAAAGATGTGATCTCTGACAAATCATTGTCACGAACTAACAAAGTATACTAGTCAACAGCTTGAATATTTAAGAACTATCTAGGCTGACTCGTAGATTTCACTAGCCAACCAGATGAGCAGAAGGATTTAGGCATCGGACAATTTAATTTAATCGATAAACTGCAATCAGTACTTTGCAATAAGTACTAGATAGCTATATCAGTTGGTACGAAACATTCACAATGTGCTTATTAGATTCAGCGCAACAAATCCATAACCAATGAACTAGTGGTAATGCTTATGCTATCTAGGAGTTAAAACAAACGACTGTTCTTCAAACACTATTTTGATCGGTGGGAATAATACAAATCTTGAATTTTTTTTTCGACAAGATTTAATGAATTTTCTTTTCTTCTCACAGTCAGTGTCAGCATACATGGAAAGAAGACGTAAACGCGGTTTAATAAACTTTAAAAAGGTTATCCAACAATCAAAGTAAGTAGAAATATTACGTTTTTCTGATATTTTAATATCGCTTCTATGTAATGGAGTTCAAGACTAGGGTTTCATCCTATTTGGGACTCTTCACCTGGATATACCTGGATCCCAGCGGCCTAGTAGATAACGCTTTAGCATTTGAAACGAACGATACCGGGGTTCAACTCCCAGTTGGAACAAAATCACCTACTGGGATGCAGGGTGAAATATGCATACTAAATTCCACTCTAAGATACCACAAAGCAAATTGAAACATGCTTCAAATTAGTTGTGATCATGAGTAGACTTCATTCAATGAATTGCCAAAACCCTTGAGTAGTAGATCTCAGTTCTTATATCAGTTTAGACCTCATGAGGAGTGAACCAGTAGATTCGAACTCATCAGTTTACTAGTAACATGCTTCTTTAAAACCTGAAAGCTGTTGAATGGATTCATTGTGAAAGTCTCCTGGATTTCCGTGGTTCTTTAGAAGTCAACTCGCGGTTGAAATGCTACCTTAGTGTACACTTAATACTCAATTATCTACTATAATAATGTTGAGTTAAGAGAAAATTTTGTAGATTTACTGATGGTACACAAGGTAACGTTTTTTCAGTTCACGAATGTATTCGTTTCTAGTTGGCGTTTCTAGATCAATCCAAGCTACTAATCAGGTCAAACCTCACAATTTAAATAGGTTTCTTATGAAAATATGATTTAGCTTACAATACTTTGCGACCATCTGTATCTTCAATTCATCACCCTTCAAACTGTTTTCAAATCTCTCTCATTCATCCAAGATCACTTGAATTCTACACAGGTATCCCTATGTAAGGATGTGTATCTAACAGATGAAAGGCGATTCTTGTTGTTTTCAAAGGCCATGTGACAGTCAAAGCCAATGATGGAAAACTGCCAGTGATACAGTTGATAAAGAAATGCAGAGGTGCAGATGCAGCCATGAATCCTTTTCAACTCAACTATTGTATTGTATTTCGGTATTTATTTCAAACATTCTTCCTGTTATCGAGATGAGGTTTCGTAAAGTTTTGATGAGAAGTGGTGGCCGGTGGAGCAAACCAAGTCGGATGGGGTGACGAATTCACACTACTGAGGAGATCCATACTAGAACGGGATAGCAGTGCAGTACTCCTACCATAGCAAACAGTTTGTCTTCTTAATGTGATATTATTCTGCGACACACCTGGTTCCGGTTTTGTAAATGTTCTTTCGAAAAAGTAGCTGACAATATGACACAACAACATGGAATGTCTCTTCAAGGAGTCCCTTGTCGTTACGACCCAGGAAGAAAAGAACAGATGATGACTGAAGTATCAATATGTCAAACTAAACAAGAAGGAAATAAGTGGACAAGAAACAAAAAGTTATATTGAGGAATAACATATAGACGACCTAGAGGAACGGCATACAGTATGATTTATATGGCGATCTTCATGTTGGCTATGAACAGTATCGTATCAGACTTTCTTTTAGAAAGTGATAGTGGATAGTGGCTGGCAGCAGAGTCAAACATATTTGTTACATTCTGTTGAAGACTAAGTGACTTCGTATCAGAAGATCATATATATCAACAGGTACCGACTAATTTGATCCAATCGATAAAGGAAAGGACTTGACGGTGAAACATAAAAATTGTAACCCCCGGTAAATTCTACGAACTGCTGAAAATTCATAAGATAAATATACCTCTCAGGTGAGTTGTGGATTTCACTAACTCACTGACATACAATTTAGTAAAATACTTACTGTAAAAAATGCATTAGACATCATTCATAGCCTACTATTGTCAGATACTAACCTAAATTTACAGTGTCAGTTACATTCAGGAGGAATTCTGAAGTCTCTGGAATTATGCTTACAATCGAATGTATTCACGTTCAGAGGTGATTCGTAGCAACACATAGATGGTATATAACAATGGGATCTCCAGTATCCCAATAATAGTAGTTAATTTGTTCATGCATTTGTTAGAGACAAATGCACTGGCAAAATGTTCAACATGTCCAAGAATTTGGTCAAGTTACGCAGACCAATACATTTGTCATCATTAGACGTAACGGTCTGGATGAATCCTTCTGTCATATAAATAATGGTTGTGTAAGTATTACTTTCATCAATGAAGTTGAATCCAATTTGTCAAAATTAACCTATATGAACTGTATGGTGAAAAGATACCATTTACAACAAATTAAAGATTTTTAGAAAAACAACACATTCTGGTAAATAACTAGATTATCAATCTTCACATCCTGTAGCCAATAAAGTAACCGTAGCACAGAATCTGATCAGCAGGGTTAACCACCTTGTTACAATGAAAAAAAAGGCCAAAGAGAAAGAGTTTAAGTAAGTTTGACAGATACACTGGAAGCAACCAATTATCCTCTAGATTTCATAAAAATAGTTATTAAAAACGAAATGAAAGATGTGCTGAAACTCTCTGCAAAGAACTGGATAAACATGGTCATAATCTCATACTATAAGAAGACTTCAGAAGAAATAAGAAGGATTGTTAACAAACACGACATAAGAGTTTATTTTCGTGTAACAAATATGTATCAACAGGTACCGACTAATTTGATTCAATCAATAAATGAAAGGACTTGACGGTGAAACATAAAAATTGTAACCCCCGGTAAATTCTACGAACTGCTGAAAATTCATAAGATAAATATACCTCTCAGGTGAGTTGTGGATTTCACTAACTGTAGTACTTAAAGAAAATCAATAGAACTGCATTTATCGAATTAACTTCACGGATTATACTGTAATATATGTGAGGAAGATAGTCAGGTGCAGATTCTGAAAACGTCAACAATGGTTAAGAAACTAGAAAACAAATCTGCAATCTTGTTACACTGCAGAAAAAAAAAAGAAAAAATGGGTCACACTATATTGACTTCGATGGAATCAAAGTTCTACAAAACGGTTTTAAGTCATACGAAAAAAATTGACACCCGAAGCCCCACATGTATAGGTAAATGAGATAAAGTACAGTTAGTAAACAGAAAGAGTGACTCTCCCATCAACATCAGTCTCAACTTTATTATCTCTGCATCAGTAACAACACAATCTGGATTGATTTGACCCATTATTATTATTATTACCATCATCGTACCTGCAGACTGGAAGAAGGACTACCTTGTGAAAATCCCAAAGAAGGGAGACATAAGCCTTAACAAGAACTGGCACGGAATCATGCTGCTGTCCATCCCAAGCAAAATATTAAGCCGCATCATCCTGGATAGACTAAAGGATGCAGTGGATTCAAAACTACGACCAGACCAGGATAGCTGGCTTCAGGAAGAACAGATCATGTACGAATCAAATTGCAACGCTACGCATCATCATAAAACAGAGCATAGAATGGCAGTCAACTCTCTACCTGAACTTCATTGGCTTTGATTAGGCCTTCGATCGAGGCGTCGACCGAGAAGTACTTTGGCAGGCAGCTGCTTCAACACTACGGAGTGCCACAAACCTTTATTAATCTCATTCAACAGCTAGCTATATGAAGACGCCATATGCCGAGTAATTCCCAATGGGAAGCTCAGTTATGTCTTTGAAATGAGGACAGGAGTAAGCCAAGACTGTCTACTAACACCCAAGATCTTCTTGATTGTAGTGGACTGGGTAATGCAACAAACAGTGAGGAGCGAAAGGAGGGGGATACACTGGACTGAGTAAAAGCTCCTAGAAGATTTGGATTTCGCCGATGACGATTTATGTCTAGTGTCGCAAAAACTGACAAGTTGACAGAAGAGGCAAAGCAACGAAAACGGGACTACAAATGGATGTGGAGAAGACGGAAGTGATGAAGATACTCAACGAACAACAAGCTCCAATCAGCATCAACGGTAGAAACTGAAAGGAAGTAGTCTTTTTCAACTACTAAGGCAGGGCAGCATCGTTTCAAATACAGGCGGCACAGACAAGGATGTCAAAACCAGGATTCCATTAAACTGAAGTCATTATGGAGATCTACTGCACTCAGCATAAAGCGTGAACAACATCTGAATTTTCAACACTTATTCAGTTAAGTCAGTGCTTCTATATGGTTCAGAGACTTGGCACTTCATGAAAGGCACTTCCAACAAACAACAGAGACTCATCAACAACTGCCTACACTGGCTCGGTACTGAAGAACAGATAGCTAGAATAACGAGAATAAGCAACAAGTAACCCTGGGAACTAACCAACCAAGAACCTATCGCTGAACAAATATTCAGAAGGAAGTGTAGATGGATTAGACTTTGCATATCCTGAGAAGGGTGACTAGGGACATCAGGTGGCAGGCCCTCAAGTGGAATGCAAAGGGGGAAACGACGAGTTGGGCGTCTGAGGGTGACGTGGAAGAGACCATGCGAAGAAGAAATGAAACCTTGTGAGCTGTCGTGGCGCCAGGTTGAAAAGACTGTACAGAAGAGAGTCCAATGGAGGCGTACTATTGAAGCCGTGTGTTTCACTAGGAACCCAAGAGAAAAATATAATAATAATAATAATTACTATCACTCATTTCCACTCTTTGCCGGCAAAACAATGAAAACTTTGTTAATGCTATACAACCCCACATACAGACTGAAATGATGTACATATCCACCTGATATGCTCAGTTGTACTTACAAAAATTACCGAATTTGTTGATATACTTTTAATTCTCCGTTGTTTTACTGGATTGAAATGTTCAACCAAGATGAATATGAATGATAATATGCACATATACTCGCATATACATACACGCTAACCATAAACTAAGAGAAATATAATTTCACCGTTATTGTTTAATAATCATATTTTAGAAAAATAATGACTATACAAAGAGGATTGAACAAAGAGATTAAAAACACACACATCTTAGTATTCATTTATATATCCTTGATATATTTTAATTAAATTTTGAGGGAGTTGTGGAGATTTGGAATTATTTCAGGCCGTTAGTCATCGTAGACTGACATCAGTTGGAGGAACAAAGGAAACCTGGGAGCACTGGACAGCTGTCTCGTCTTAGTATGGGACTCCTCAGCAGTGCGCACCCACCAGCAGGGATCGAACCCACAACCTTCAGGTCCCGCGGCCAGCGCGTTACCATTGAGCCACTGGGTCAGAATCCAATCCTCCATATTTCCAACTTCTGTTAGTTCACGATATATAGCGCAACTGCCACCCGATGTCATCGTTGAGTATTTGTCCTCATGGCCATCAGGCTTTGACTCCTCCAACTGATGTCAGTCTATGATGAATAACAACTTGAAATAATTCCAAATCTCCACAACTCCCTCAAAATTTAATTGAACTGGTGTTCATTGGTGACTAGTTTCGAGAAGTATTCCGAAGTTCCAATGAGAAGTCGTGACCGGTGGAGTCGGAGCCTGATGGCCATGAGGACAAATACTCAACGATGACATTGGGTGGCGGTTGCGCTATATATCGTGAACTAACAGAAGTTGGAAATATGGAGGATTGGATTCTGACCCAGTGGCTCAATGGTAACGCGCTGGCCGCGGGACCTGAAGGTTGTGGGTTCGATCCCTGCTGGTGGGTGCGCACTGCTGAGGAGTCCCACACTAGGACGAAACAGCTGTCCAGTGCTCCCAGGTTTCCTTTGTTCCTCCAACTGATGTCAGTATATTTTAATTGCTGGTTATTTCCCTGGAGAAGCTCACACTAGATTTTCATACAAAATAATATGAGACTTATTCCATTTCAAATAACGCTGTGACTTAAACAAATAAAAACTATATCTAATGTCAACTATTGACTTAGCATTTAATATTTACCATATTATCCAGTTAAAAGTTGACCATAGTTCATATAAATAGAACTTCTGTTTATTGGAGTATCTATTGCTTCGAATGAGAGACCTAGTAAGGCTGACTACCTTCATCTTCATATGATAGAAGGATATCATAGTATTCCTCGAAATCCTCTACGAATTCTTGGTACATTCTTCTTCTTTATGCTTTGAAATCATTGATACAATGAAAATTTTTGCTTTATTCGTTTATATTCAGTGATACTACAAATTGTGTTATACGTGGGAGAAGCTTTTTTGGGATATTAAACCAAGAAATTATTCAAAAGGTAAGTTAGTTCTCGTGTACATGTGACTTTTTCAATTATTTATTGTTTATTTTTTCCTTTGGGTTCCTAGTGGAACATACACCTTCAGTAGCACGTCGCCATTTCACTCTCTTCTCTGCAATCTTTTCAATCTGGCTCCACCACTACCAATAACCTTTCATTTCTTCTTCACATGCTCGCCTCCAGGTCACCTTGAGACACCCAACTCGTCGTTTCACACTTGGGTTCCATTCTAGGACCTGACCTGGCGTGTGTTGTTTCCCAATGGTCTTTTTAGTGTATGTCCAATCCAATCCAATCCATCTCCACTTTCTTCTTCTGTACATTCGTTGGGTGATAGGTTCTTCATCAATTGGTTCCTTGACAGCCAGCCAACCAGAGTCCCTTGTTGCTTATTCTTCTTCTTATTCTGACCATCTGATCTTCAGTGTGAGTATCGAGTGAGCAAGCATGGGCATCAGCTGTTGATGAATGTCTGCAGTTTTGTGGAAATGCTTTTCGTGATGTGCGAAGTCTCTCAACCATCATATGGAAGCACTGCCTTACTTGACTGAATCAGTGTTGAAAATCCGGATGTTGTTCATGCTTTATATGTTGAATACAGTGCAGTGCAGTGTAGTGCAGTGCAGTTGATCTCCACACTGTTTTGCTTTTCCGATCGTGGCTTTGACATCTTCATCTGTGCCTGTGCTTGGTGTATTTGAAAGTATGGTGCTTAGGAGGAAGGGTGAAAGAGACAACATGCTTTAGATTTCTGGCGTTGATGGTGATTGGTGTTTGTTGGTTAGGTAACTTCATCCCGCCTAGTTCACTAGTTCACTAATTTATCGTTTTGACTATCTGAGTGAGATAGCTATGGGTTAACAGACTAGTATCGATATTGGGTGGTAATTGAAAGTAAAGTAGAAATTCGAACCAGGGAACACCGGGTTTCCGTCCTGATCCTCTACCAACTGAGCTATGGGTTCAGACTGCTAACCAGATTTTTATTTCACTTTCAGTCATCACTCAATGTCAATACTAATCTGCCAAACCATGTTTATCTCAGATAGTAAAACTACTAATCAACATGATGTTCTCCTTCTCTAATTCAAGTACATTTGGATTTAGATGAGAAGTCCTGATTAGGCAACCAGAGTGAATACGATCAAGTGGTAGCAACGCGTCACGAATTCATATGGTAGTCTGATAAAAGCCTATGGTGATTGAAATGAAATAAAAAATCATATCAGAAGTCGGACTTCGTAACTTAATTGTTAGTGCACCGTCCTGGAAACCCGGTGATCACTGGTTCGAATCCTGCCACGATCCAAAATTTCATTTCATTTTCAATCATCACCTAGTATAAATGTAAATTAGACAAGTTAACTGATATAAACTGAAAGTGTTTTGTCTTAAGTTACTGTTATTGACACGATTGGATGAAGTAACACCAGAAAGTATTAAATGTAAAAAAAAAAAACAATCATGACAACTATACAAGAGTACAAAGATTAGCCTGACAAAAAACAAAACGATGCAAACCAATGTGAAGGTAGTAATAAAGACTTTATGTACTTTTTGTCCGCATAAAGGTCAGACTTCATTTCATAAATGACTAAGGCATATGCTGTTTTTCGGAGATGAGGACGAACGAAACGATGAATATTTGACCGAATTTGATAAATAACCTTAAAATTATTATATGAGTTAGTTGAATGGTTGAAATGGGTCAAATGTTTGATGATAGAACTTCTTATACAATTTCCTTCACCTTCTTAAAGCTAGACTGGAATATGCTCTTCTATACGTGTGGCTACGATTGACATACGTTTCTCTATAGGAGCACAGAGATTGCGAAAACTACTATGGCTGTAACCATCATTATTGTTATTTCATCCCTCCATTATCAAAGTTCAATTTTCCTCATGGATTAGAGTCTTTAATTGTCACTTATCTATATGCAAAGGTACAACATGAGAATAAATTCATGGAAAAGAGTTCTCTTCGATGAATATCTTGAAGATATCACTGGCTAGAACTCTCCTTGTGTACTATACAATAGGCTGTTTAATTCAGTCGAAAGTCGACAAGGTACCCTATCTACAGTACCTTCTATGGTGTATATCAATTCACGTGCAACTGTCAAAGCAATTACAGAGGAGGAGGTGGAGAATGAAGGGCATATCTTAGATGTTTTTTTGAATACATTTCGAAGAGATGCACCCAATTCCTTTAAACCTACAAACAAGCTTAATTCTTCTCAAATTTGCTGAGGTAATAAACGCTAAACACTTCAAATTTGTTCTGTTTGCTTAACCTCTATTTACCTTAGTGTAACCCTTCTTAACTGTTATTTGACTACATCATCTTTTCTCAACCTTAGATGTTTATTCCTTTACTCTTATTTAGTTGCATCATTTATTGCTCATATGGAATTTTTTCCACTTAACTGAGCTTAACTCACAATATTTTTCCATGTTTTGTTTAGTAATCACATAATCGTCCTGATTATCTTAGATATCCATGGTTTGGTAAACTAGTATATATACTGAGCATTTATATGTGGATAAAAACCCATGATGATTGAAATGAAATAAAAATTTGACTAGCAGTTGGACCTCGTAGCTCACTTGGTAGAGTATCAGGTCGGAAACCCTATGGTCGTTGGTTCGAATCCAGCTGTCGTCCAAATTCTCGTTTCACCTTCAATCATTATCCAGTATGAATATCAGTCTGACAAACTATGGCTATCTCACATAGTGAAAATCATAATGACATAAGTATTTGTGATTATGATAACAGTTGAAGTATAAATGATAACAAAATAGATTAAGTAATGTATGGAATGGTTCGTAGAAGGTGTATAACTGAGAAATGGGTGAAAGAATTGATGAAAGTGGTAAATCAACTAAGTATTATTTAGTAGGATTAAACATTATTATTATTTGTCCCTTGGGTTTCTAATGGAACATAGGGCTTCAGTAGCACGTTTCCATTCCACTCTGTTCTCTGCAGTCTTTGGAACCTGGCTCCACCATGCCCACAAACTCGCATGGTCTCTTCCACGTCACCCTCAGACGCCAAACTCGTCGTTTCCCCCTTTGCATTCCACTTGAGGGCCTGCCACCTGATGTCCCCAGTCACCCTTCTCAGGATATGCAAAGTCTAATCCATCTACACTTCTTTCTGAATATTTGTTCAGCGATAGGTTCTTGGTTGGTTCGTTTCCAGGGTTACTTGTTGTATATTCTGATTATTCTGGCCACCTGAGCTTCAGTAACGAGCCAGTGTAGGCAGTTGTTGATGAATATCTGTATTTTGTTGGAAGTGCCTTTCGTGACGTGCCAAGTCTCTGAACCATATACAAGCACTGACTTAACTGAATAAGTGTTGAAAATCCGGATGTTGTTCACGCTTTATGCTGAGTGCAGTAGATCTCCACATTGATTTCAGATTAGTGAAAGTCTGTCTTGCTTTTTTGATCCTGGTTTTGACATCCTCATCCGTACCGCCGCCTGTAATTGAAACGACGGTGCCTAGATAGGTGAAAGAGGCTACTTCCTTTAGGTTTCTCCCATTAATGTTTATTGAAGCTTGTTGTTGGTGGTGTTCGTTGGGTATCTTCATCACCTCTGTCTCCTCTACGTTCACTTGAAGTCCCGTCTTTTCTGCCTTTTCTGTTAACTTGTTAGTTTTTGCCTGTAGACCTTCCAGTTTGTGTGACACTAGACATAAGTCATCGGTGAGATCCAAATCTTCTAGGATATTTTCCCCAGTAGGATTAGACAAGTTGGTCAAAGTGAAATCAATGTTTTCTAAAAAGATTAAGACAATTAAGTGAAATAACACCGATAACTAATCAAATTGCAGGCAATTATAATAACAATAATAGTGATTAAGGAAGTATAAAAAGGTTAAATTAACAAAGGAAGAGAAAAAACTAATGGTGGTGGGAAAAAGTCATGGTCATAGCGATAACTGTACATACTTCGTTTGTACATACAGATCAGGTTTTAGTTGATGAATAGCTAAAGTCTCGACAGTTTTAAGGAGCTGAAAACGAAGAAAACGTGGAAGGTTTGAGCGAATTCGATAGATAATTTTAAAGCCATTTTCTAGGTTTGTTGAGTGGTGGTGTAGTGGGCGTTGCTGATAAGAATGGACATAAGTAGTATATGTTGAGAGGAAGGCAGAAATCATATGCAATTACCAGCAGTGGGTTAGGATTCTGCCAAGAGAAACGCAAGAGACAACATGGGCGTATTAAGAGCAAATCAAGAGAGAAGCAGAAGAGGAAATGAAGAACATTGTGGAAATGACAGTCTTAGTTGAAAGTGCACAATATTTGATGATTACTGTACAAGATGTCAATAATAAACACCCCTTCCTTCGTCTCTTTCTTCTCATTTCCTTCAATGGACATCAATCAAATGTTCTAGAATAGAAGTTCTAACAGACTCTCTTTCACCTTGATAAAATTAAGCTGCAGCATGTTCTCCTTTACGTATAAAAAGCATTCTGTGGCTACACTGGTTTCATTTTAACCAACTTGTATAATCCTACTAAATAATACTTAATTGATTTACCACTTTCATCAATTCTTTCACCCATTTCTCAGTTATACACCTTCTATGAACCACTCCATACATTACTTAATCTATTTTGTTATCATTTATACTTCAACTGTTATCATAATCACAAATACTTATGTCATTATGATTTTCACTATGTGAGATAGCCATAGTTTGTCAGACTGATATTCATACTGGATAATGATTGAAGGTGAAACGAGAATTTGGACGACAGCTGGATTCGAACCAACGTCTAATAGGTTCTCAGTCCGATGCTCTACCAACTTCTTAAGTCAATGGATAGAGCATGAGGTCATAAACCCTGTGTTCGTTGGTTCGAATCCACTCACCGTCTAAATTTTCATTTCATCTTCAATCATCACCCATGTAGAAACAATCATAGTGTTAAGTCACTTTTGGTTGACGCTCATGTCATTATTTGTATTTGAGAATCTTCCATTGGATTATGTATTATACATCTGTGACAACTTATCATTGTGATTGACCCCATATTTTATGATCATTACTGTTCATCTCAATCACTGATCGATATTCTATCTTGTTTCAGTGAATAAAATATGGTTAATTTTGATATTCCACATTGTAATCAGTTGACAGAATGTCATAGAAATAAAATGGATCCGTTTCATCCAGCCTAGATTTTATGTTTGCCGCTTTCAAATTCATTTGGACGAATTCATGTATTAAATATCTTGATCCTCATTCAAATGACCTAATCGTTTGTTTGTTAACCAGCTCTACCATGTTTTCCCACCTATTTATAATCTATGTCTTCAATTTATGAACAATCCAAACAACATATTACGTAATCCATTTCTGTGATCATTCAACACTTACGTCTTCAATTGACAACATTATTATACTGATAACCATCATTACTATTGTTTTACTTGTCCATTAGTGGAATTTCCTTAGATTTGGCAGTCTTCAGGTTACTAGTTGGTTGGAGGTGATCGGTGGGAACCCCTGCTAGACGTAGTTTTTGCGTAAGGCATACCTGCAATTACAGGGTAACTGGTGTCCCCACCGCATCACTCAGTGTTGCAGTGAACGACGTTCCCAATGATCTGTTCGGGCAATGACCGACCTTTTTTCTTCAAATTTCACATCAACACGAATGTACAACTTGTAAAGAAATTGGTTGAAGAGAGTCCTCTTCGCCAAATATCTTGTTTTCGATGTCACAGTGGAAATTATGAACGTATAAAGAGATGCTAAAACACATTAAAGAATGATAGCCTATATGGGGAAATAACTTACCTGGGGGTGGCTAGAAGTGGAATCTAGGACATATGTTTCAACCTAGTTAGCACCCGTCAGCCGGATATACTCCATTGAGTGGTACTGTTTCCACTGAAACTCGGAACCTAGCATCCGTCACTTCAAACATCAAAGCGTATCCTACCGGTTCGTTGAGGCAGGAGAGCCGCCTCTTGTGCAATATTTTATTTCCCGCTGCTATTCTGTATCGCATCGCTCAACTTCTGTTGGTTCTTATGCGGATGCCTTTATGCTGCCTGGTTATTTACCACATTGTAATTTGCTAGCATCCCAGTGACAGTGGGAACACCATCACTCACTGGAGTGCAAGTGCAACCAGCTGACGAGTCACAGACAAGATGAAGTACATGTTCTGGATTCCAGTGATAACCACCACCAAGCAAATTACAACGTAATGAATAACCAGCCAATATCAAGGCATCCACACAAGAACCAATTTACTGAGAAAGTTGTCGATTAATGGGATCTCAAATAACAACGGGGGATTACAGGTATCAACAGAAAGTATGTGGGAAAATAAGTGCAGGCTTCGATAGTGATGACGTAACTATAAAGTGTGATAAGATTTTGTTTCTGGTCTGCACAAAATATAAATTTCAAGTTGGTATTCATCATGAACTAACATCAGTTGGAGGAACCTTTGAGGCCTGGGAGCAGTCGGTCAGCTGTTTCCTTTTTATATGGGGCTCCCTGGCAGTCCGCATCCATGAATCCAAAACGGGTCGATCCCAGGACCTTCATGTTCCGCTGCCACCACATTACCGATGAACCACTGGTTCAAAACTCAGTGGCCCCCATGAGGAGCCATCTCAAACCTAGGAGTACCGTATGACTGTTTCGTCGCACCGTGGAACTTCGTGGCAATCCGAACTTGTAACCCCTTCAGGGATTAAACCTCGAAACCTCAGTTTTCGAGGCAAGCACGTTACCATTGAACCACGTGATCGGATACCACCGGTCTACATTTTCCTACTTTTGTCAATTTGGGATAAGGTACCACTCTTATTCAATACTGTCGTTGATTAGTTGTCTTCACTTTTGACTTGATTACAACTTCTCATTCAATCTTTAGGACATCGCTTCTGAACAGGATTTTCGTCTGAATGTTTTTGGGAGTTGAGCAATTAGTTTCAAGGTAGTATTGACTTGAATATTTCTTATTTTTTCAGATACACAATTTCTGGGATATGCATTATCGAATTATTGAGTCAAGAAAGAGTAGAATTATACCTCCAGTTCGAGGGTATACACTGAACAAAACAATAACAACAACAACAACAACACCTGAACAAAGTAATCCTATCAGTAAGTGGTTTCTTTTGTTAACATAACCAATTATCCTTGTTACTCTCTGTTACTTTTGTTTTTTTGCTTAACTCTCATGTCTTTTTAATGGTTGTTCAATTCATCTACTATTGTATTCATTTCAAGTTTGTTATGATCACTAATGTTTTCGTAGAGTAAATGCCTTGCTTGATTAAAGTATGATGATAGTTGTTCAGTTTAAAGGAATTTATAATACACTACAAGGCGATAGTTTATTAAGTGTTCTGGAAATAGATTTGGTAAACAGTAGAACTTATTAGAAAGGTGTATTTCAAGTTTTCAGCTAACATTTGTTACTGTGTCAGTTTGAATCGAAGTCATTTAATGAACATGAAGGTGACCGGTAGCTTCCATCAGGCCGTCGAGTCATGATAGACACAGCATTGGTGAAGAGTTTGAGCATTAAATTCAGGAAGTTATGCTGTGTTTCACTCTGTGCTGGCTATATCAAACAAACAAACTCTACCTCAGTGCCCCAGTTTTTTATTTTACATTCAGGTTTGTTTGTTTTAGATCCTGATGCGTACGCATACAACCGTCACTAAAAGACCAGTAGGGAGGGGGGTCACTCTTTTGGAAGCCGATATTTTCTAACTTTTCCTCCTAACCGGGAAGTACGGTTGACTATCCATGGGAAACATCTTACGATTTCGCCCTCGGACTCCTGTCACAGTTTAGTAATCCTCACTACTATGGTAATTGTTTTTCGTCTTACCACTATCCACTTTACCATTCTGGTATGATACCATCTCAAGGGGACAAGTGTTCCTACAGCACATCTCGTTGGGTCACTGTGATACGCAGGCCCAACCACAACACCAAGTTAATGGCTGTCAGTCAACCAGGAGTATATACCTTAACACTACAAATCTCGGCATTATTACTTGTATTATACCGTCGTTGATTGGACCAAATTGATCGGTCTCTATTGGCATATGGGCTCGTGTGCGGATGCCTCCATATTACCTGCATTCTAATTATAGTAATGATGGATAGTGGCTAGCAGTGGAATCCAGGATGCACATTTCGTCCTATAATGTATAATATAAGCAATAATACTAAAACTATACCCGTCGCACAAGAAGTGGCTATCAGGCTGGATCGTGCAGTGGGTAACTCTCTGGTGTTTGAAGCAACCGGTCCCGAGTTCGAATCCCGGGAGGCAGGTACGTCCAGCTGACGAGTCTCAACTAAGACGAAATGCGCATCCTGGATTACACTGCTAGACACTGCCCATCATTATATTACAAATCTTAGTCAAAATAAATGATAGTCTATAGAATACGTGATCAGATTTGTACCTAACCAAGTACATTAGAAGAACTAAGAGAACCTACTAGGAAATTTATATTTAACAGAGATCCAGGGTTCTACAAGTACAATAGCCAGATACTTGATGAAAACTGTACACCAAACAGATACCTCTGAAGCTTTCACGATAATAAGCAGACAAAAATTGCCAAGTCTACTACATATTACTTGAAGCTCTTTGCAATCAGACGTTTGGAGAAACCTGACTTTTATCCACTAAAACAAATTGTGACTAATCTTTCTTTACCTTGGCTGATATCATATCACCCAATCTTGTATTCAATGTTCAAAATGTGTTATATTTCATCATAACTTGACAAAAATTGATAAAATCTTCAATGTTCAATACTCTACGTTATTTGTTTTATTGAAGGCATCCTTGAATCAAATAAACCAGCTGATTTTAAACATGATTATTGTTAATTCTGTTGTCTGTTTATTTATTTATCAGATGAATTAACAGAGAAAGTGAATGATGAGATTGATGAAGATGTACTTCTTGACGAAGAACCAGAAATACGTAAATTAATGAGTCATTTAATTGCTGCCGGTTGTAATTTACAATACCCGCTAAGTGATTCATCTCGGTAAGTGTCCTTGAACATGATTGGCTAGAAGCATTTGTTTTAATGAAGTTACAAAATTTTACTTGACTTTCAGCTTAGAATTATCCATTTAAGCTCTAAACTATTGTTAACTTTGAAAAGTATATAAACTTAATACAACGTGAGATGAGCGATGTAAAATAATAAATCAACATATGAAGATGCAGAGAATGGAGACGAAATCAGAAGTGGGTTATTAGAGACGTGGTTTCAAAGATACTTTCAAAGAAACATTCACTATTTTTGTCTTACTTTTCAGTAGTAGAAGAAACAAGAAGACTGTCTGTAATCACCTCTAGCCACTGAGTTGCTTTAGTCCTTCAACTCCAATGTGAGAGTCATGAAGCACTTATAGATGCTGACCAAACACAAATATCCTTCATCTCATGGCGCCATATCATACACCAGTTACCTCTCCGTTTCTTCCAACTAATCCCAGAGCAGAAGAACAGTGAACGGTGTGGGAGCCACTGGGAAGATATGCATAACACATGCTGAAAGCACCAAAGCCGATGTTTTGTGATGACCATGTTCAATGAATGACGATCTTCGTCACGCTCAAATACATACCACCTCACCATAGAATTTCCTAAACAATGTCAAATGCCAGGATTGTCCATATTCGAGAGCCAGTCGGTGACTTCTCCTGAAAACCCGTTCCCCGGTTAGGAGAAGTTATACGTGCTTAATCGCTTTGGACGTTCCATAGCGATGGCTAGTGCAGTCACAAGGATGGACTTCTTCACTGACCTCGAACCAAAACAAGAGATATAGACAAGTACCGCGGCCAATTCGGTCATACTCTGGCAAGATAACAGGCATGTAGCCTTCCTTCATCAAACCTTGCATGCTTTTGCACATTCTCTCGTCCACGTTGCATATACACCCGACCAAATACGTTAAGTAAACTAGAGTATTTCAAAATGTCTGACTAGCTCCTCTGTTGCCCACGCTAAGTAGGTTTTTTCACTTCAAAACCCCAACGCTGAATGGAAAGACGGGGAGTCTGTTCGCTGGTCGATATCCGCTTATCAGTGGGTACCGCGAGAAGGTCTATCATCGTGCAACTAAATTCAAAATGCCATAGCCATTGGAATAACCAGAAGGCCGGCTATTTAAAGATAAACGACTAATTGTGTAACATAGACTAGCCACTTAGCCAGCAGCTCAAAATACCCGCGTAAGATGACGAGACATTTAACTATGCCAAGAGAGTCATAGTTACATTCACAGTTTTCAGAGTACCAAACCTCTAATTTCGCTTACCGCATAGACTCCGAAAGGGAGGTCAACATTTTCCACCACGCAGTTCAAACTCATAATTATCAGTCGAATAAAGGTTTCTACTTATCCATGTTAAAATTCATTGAATCGACTACGTAATATACTCCTTAAGAGTGTGTTTATTTATTTTCCATTTCATATTTCTGTCATTCTAGAGAATTATCGGACAAAGTCAAAGACAGTCGTGATTATTCAACTTTAGCTATGGAACGTCGACGTCATAGACAATATAAGCAATGGTATACTGAACCGCAAAGACCATTTACTCCACGATTTTTTAATATATGTCGTCCAGATTTCGGCGCCGAATTAGAGAATGATACACTGGATAAAACTTATGAACTATTAAATTGTAAAAAGGTAGAACAAGTTGGAAATTCAATGAAGAGTAACAAACAGCATGATAAGGAATCATTTACTGATTCAGTCTGGTAAGCCCAATCATTCAAATCTCCTTTTCTAAATCTAGTTTACGCTCTTTAAGTACTGAGAATCAAAAGCTAAGCTCTTATTTGGAGAAGTCGTAGACAAGACTTAAAGTCTATTGTATACATCATTAGCCTAGTGGACAACGCTTTGGCGTTTGAATTGATGGGAACTGGGTTACAGTTTCCATAAGAACAAAATCACTCACTCGGGTACAGTTACATCCAGCTGACGAGTCCCACATAGGACGAAAGACATAGCCTGGTCTCCATTGCTACCTAACAAGCAGACCATATCAAGAGATAAAGAGTGAGAATATCTGGCGAACATTTTGCATCCAGTGAACTTTATTGGCGAAGTTTCAACTGGGATTCAAACGTTCAGTTTGCTATTTGCTAACTTATGCCACTTATGGCAAAGAGGAGATATGTGAATACCTATCAAAGGACGAGTGTATCGCATAGCAGTTCTTTCTGTCATGTTGAATGACTGATATGTGTTTCCTTCTGTCTTTTACGATTGAAAAATGTTACAATCTCAGTGTAGACACTTCAATGAAAACATTGCGGTTGCAGAAGTCTACCCGAATAAGCTCTTCTGGAATTCACTTGTAAATACTCATTAAAGTTTCATTCTGTTTTCAGATTTAATAGAATTGCTGATAATTTTTTTTATACTTAGTGATTTGATATACATACAATTGTGTTGTGTCCTTTGGCTTTTGGAGCAAATGTATCTTTCGTCAACTTCTGAGACTGATCCAAATTGGAGACCAATATCAGCATCTTGGAAATTTAGGTGAGAATACAACTTTGATTGGCGGAATCTTTGATATTTCAGTTGATTTTACTAAAGCAATTCACTTGTCACTTTGAACTTATACTAAAAAGTGATCCAAACCGGTTATTATGTCATCTTGCCATCAATTCCCAATACTTTGTTAAGCTATCATGTTGGTTTGGTGTGCAATGATAAATAAAATTCACCTCATTATCGGTATATCATGAACCGAGAGAAGTAGGGAAATGTATATCATTAGTCTCCTACCCAGCAGCTCAATGGTAAATTGTTGACCATATAACCTGAAATTCTTGATTTCGATCCCCGTAGGGTGGGGTCATAGGTTCGCACTGCTGTGGAGCCTCGTACAGCTGTCCAGTGCTCCAGCTGATGTCAGTTCATAATGAAAACCAAGCTGAAATCAATAAGTAAATCCCAATTAAACCTCTAAATTGAACTATTTTCACTTGTTTGATTTAAGAATTGCATACCAGTTCGTTTTGCAGCGATATACGGCATTGATGCCTGGATGAAACTTATGAAAAATTTCTATGTTAAAGATTCATAATCGTGCTAGAGTAAAAAAACAATAATATGCTTGTTTCCCAACTTTACGGGAGATAGTGTTGGACTAGTGACTCGATTGCCCCTAACTTCCTTACACCAATTAAATTGCACCACAAAGGTAAGTCCTCTAGTTTCATGATCAACCAATAAGAAAGCTGATTACCAACTACAAGGTCAAAGAGTGGGCAGAGAAACGACCAATGGGAAAATCTGTACCGTTAACACTACAATTCTTGGGAACATCTTACAGTTTTTGGTGTTGTGTCCTCTAAGCCGAATAGTTTAATCGTGAAGCATTTGTTCCCATTCTAGATAACATCATCAATGAAGGAAATGCAAAGAATATCAGAGGATTTTTAGAAGCTTGATATTCAGGTCAGTCAGCAATTAACAGACACACATTGATATTGACTCGATCTGTTAGCCAATAAGAAACAACAGGAAGGTCAAATTCCAGGTCACCAGGACAACCAATCAAAATAAACACAGAGACGATGACAAAACTTTAGTAGAACAGACCAATCGCACGCAAGGATATCAGGACAGGCTATTAAGTAAACTGAGGAGAAAACCTTATAACTCACTTTTTTTGAAGTTTTGCGCTGATGATAATGTTCTCTAAAATGACAATGAAAACTTCACGATTAAATACTCCAGCTCAGAGAAAACAGCACCATTAAAAATGCATTCCTCTCCAGGATCTACAGTTCTAAATGTATGAAAATAGGTGAAATACAATAACCAAAGTAAAGCACAATGTAAAATTATTTCAATATTGAAATAGTCAGTGTTATGGGTAAACGCAGATCAAATCCAATGGGTGTAGGTTTTCATCCAGTGAAATGATGATCAGTCTTGAAATGACATTAGATGAGAACAGGTCCACTTTATCCTAAAGGAAGGCTAGAAGGTGAATTGGTCCATTTGTAACCGTCAGGTCGGAAAAAACTTGACTTCGAAGAAGTATACGCATAAAAGGAACTTAACCACTGAAGCCAACAGTCTACAATTTCAAAATTAATGACTTCATATCCTGATAGACAGTCGTTTAACAAATGTGTGCCAGACACGCTACAATCACGTAAGTCAGTTTGGGTTAACGGTTTCGTCCATTAAACGTTTCACCTAAAAATGATATCTACTCAAAAGCAGTTGATCACTAACGAAATTTCAGTGGTAAACGGTCACCACCACCAACTTGTACCACTGTTAATTCGAAAAAAGTGTGGTGAAACAACTGAAAAAAGCAATTGTCGAAAAATTTCTACTCATAAAAGTGGGGAATATTTTCAGCTTAGGTGGATAGTCTTGGTTGTATTGTGTTTTCTAAGCTGAGTTATTCAATCGTCGAGCTTTCATTGTCTTTCGAGACGACATCGTCATCATTAACTTCAGTATGAAGTGAGCTGTCAATATCTCTCCGTCAGTGAGTGATTTAGTAGCCTGCCCTGACAAACTCGTTTGTGATTGGTTGTTTCGTTTGATTGTTGTATCATTGACTGGATAGATTTTTTTGTTGGCTGTTCAGTGACATCAAATTTACAATAGAGAAGGAGTCGAACAACCAACTACCATTCCTGGATATTTTAGTCAGTAAGAAAAATACCAGAAATCTGAAAACCCATGTGTACAGAAAGCCAACGCACATTGGTCAAATCCTCAGCCACAGTAACAACAAAGCACAAGATCAGTTGGTTGCAGACTCTATTCAGAAGAGTGAGAACACACTACAGTACAACAACTTCACAGAGAAATGAAGAAAACTACTTGAAGAACGGCTACCCGTGAAACTTTATCAGAAGTGCCTATCCTGTACATCATCAATCACAAAGTCATCGACACAAATCAATAAACGCATCATTCTAACGTACATAAAGAATGTATCAGAAATCACGACAAGATTACTGAAACCACCTGGTGGAATTGGTCTGGCTCATAAATCAACAAATTCCCTATAAACCCTATCATGCACACTAAAGCATCCAACAACCAAACAACACAAACCAAATATCATTTACAAAATCAACAGCAACAACTACGGTTATCCTTCATTGGACAAAGTGGTTGCCCTCTTCATCTTCGTTTACCTCAACAGTAATAGCCTATTAAACGTCAAACACGACATTTCATCACTCATTACTCAATGCATGTGGATAACAACTATGGACATGAATTCAATCTCGACAATGTAGAAATGTTGGACGGAGAGAGGAAACACAAAAAATATCATCAGAGAATTCCTAGAAGCTTGACATTCAGGTCAGTCAGTCAGCTGTCAGTCAGTCAGCAATCAATATCGAGATGTGTAGACATGGACCGAATCTATCAACCATTGAGGAGAATGATAAACGATATGAAGGTGAGAGGTGAAGCAGAAGAACAGTCAACAGGAAATTCGATGTAGTCAGTGACACAATCATCAAAGGAAACAATCAATCACAAATGAGTTGGTCAGGGCAAGCTACTAAATCACTCACTGACGGAGAGATATTGACAGTTCACTTCATAGTGAAGTTGGTGGTGATGATGTCGTCTGGAAGGAGGATGGATGCTCCTTGAGTAAACAACCCAGTTCAGAGAACACAATACGACCAATTTTCTTCATGGTATCTATGGTCACTGTTCAAGAAATAATTTGAACTACTGAGCTAAATCAGACCAATGGAGTTCTAAATGGGTTTTACTGTTCATACTACTAACAACTTCCTAAAGTCAAGCAGAATAGCAACCATGGCAAATGAGCAACTTTTTTTATTATATTTCAATAGAGAATAGACAATTCTATATTTTAGTAATTTGAAGACTCTCATAGATTATACAGAACAAGAACAATCTGAGTAAACACTTGTTGTCAACATCTTTCTTCCTCTTCATGCTGTACAGCCATATAAATCCATAAGAATAGGTGGAATATAATAGCCGATGTAAGGTATAACGTAAAATTACTTTAACAGTTATACGTGACTGGAGACTTAATGAAATGGATGTAAGTTTTTCATCAGGTGGGATAATAATCAGTCTAGTGTTTCAGTTGTGTAATGAGATCAGCATGGATAAGGTAACTACGTAATAAGGAGGCTAAATCACCCGATAATGATTCATTTATCTACATCTATCTGACGTATGAATATGCTTGCGTTATTGTTTGCTCACCAAAGGTAATAAGACAAAGGATGTTTAGCGTAGAATCACTCTTTTCAGCAATATCGTTCTCAAGCTGTACAATCTCATATATAAATATTCTATTCACATGCTAACACAAAGGGAATGTTTCATAAAATATTCTTTTTGAAAGAAATCCAGTTAAAGAGATTGAAAGAAGAATTACGCAATGTTTAAGATAGTAATGAGAAAGAAACTTATCAAGACCAAAGCAATATTATATTTGGTTACTAGGTTAAATGATGTAATATGATGAAGGAGGCTAGTGAATGTAGTAGGAAATCAGAATTCGAAAGAGTGGAAGAACGTAGAGTTCAACTTTGTCATGGCTTCTACAGTTTGAAGAAGTTCTAGGCCTACACCTTTTATATGGTTTGCATGAAGTTTGTAGATGACACTGAAGTTGTTTTCTGCATCTACCAGGTGTTCATAATCGATTAAATCTTCTCAAATAACCCTATAAGATGGGCTCCTTTTTCAACCACTATACATCAAATGATTACTATGTAACGATGATTTATATTCAAGTGGGGTGGAAAGTCATATGAATACATTGATCAAATAAGGAAAAACAAATGTGGCAATACCATGAATAAACAAGGCTGAAAAACGAATAGTCTAAGAAAATGAATCTTCATCAATGAAATGATGAAAACAGAGTAAGAGAATAGGATAGAAGGCAGCAGTGTGAAATTTTTAGGAGAAAAGTTCAATAAGAAACTGTTGAACATATCGTGGGTGAAGGTAGATAAAGTGGTGGGTGTACGTACACACTGCATGGGAATACACTCTCTAAGCTGGTACATAATCACAAAAGTGTATGGACTAAACGTTCAAAGTACTTGCCTTATCCTATCCTGCCTGATTCGTCTATTCCTCTAACTTTAGTCTCTTTGATGATTAATTTTTGATCCATTTTACTAGGGTTGACTCTCATCAAATCAAGTTTAAATGCTCCTATTTCAAAATTGGTGATAATTTCATTGTGTTGACTTTTGACAAATTCTACATCACCCTAGTCACCTTTTACTATGATGTCTAATATCAGCCAAAATGGATTTTAGGCTGGTAAAATGTTACAGGCAGCTGGACTAAAAAGCGTTTTCATAGTTGGCATCCGTTCTCCCTCAGTACCTCACACTTCACTAGGCCAAAAAAAACGAAAACCAGCCCGTGACCGCAAGAAAGACATTTTATTCGAGAAAAAACGCATCATTTACGTACATATCAAAACACTAGGTCAAAAGCCGAACACTTTATTTTGATTGGCCAACTGCGAGATAAAATTGTCCAATCAAATTTCTCCTGGTCATACTGCAACATGAAGTAGAAATTGAAGTACAAACGTTTCTACCTTAGTGGTTGATGATTTAAATTTGAATTTCCATTTAAGCCACTTCCAAGAACGACTTTAAAAGCCAACCTAGCAACAGCTGAGATAACCAATTGGACTTCTGGATTTTATTAAAATTTTAAGGTGAAAGGTTATTTGATAGCCTTGATCCTCATTGGTTCATCATAACCGCCCACGCATTGCTTGATTATTCACCTGAATATTTTGACTTCAGGATATTTTTCTAGTTCTAGCTTGTCATTAATATGATAAACTGCTGATATATTTTGTGTTGTGAGAATACACCACTGTTCTTACTTGATTTCATGATATTTGAAAAAGTGGTAACATCAAAGTATTTTTCTGGAAACTTTACGTATGAATTTTAAAACTGCAGCATTTACATACTTACAGATGACCTTGATATGTTGGACAATATTGCAGAAGGTCTAGAAACATTGATCACCAATTTAGCCAATGAGGTATCTACATGGAAAGACATGATTTTTTGGAAGATTCTGATTGGTTCTGAAAGCATCTAGCGTATTTAGGGGAGGATTTTGCCCGATAAAATTCACAGGAAAGATTTTTTTAATTTGCGATTCGTGAGCTTCGAGAATAGTACAATATTTCGCTAAAACTTCATGTAGATATTCATACTGTAAGCAACAGTGAACAGGACGAAAACTTAAGAGTATACCGAGCATGAAGGAGTAATCAATTGCGAAATCGCTTGTTTAATATACCAGTTGTAGCTACTAACATTTGTAACTCGAAGGAATATTCTAGAAAGTTCTTTGGAACTTGAAAGTCTAGAGAAAAAATGCCTTGAAAAATCTCTTGATTCTTAATTTTTACAATGAGGACTCATATGAACAAAAATGTTGCGTAATTTCACATCATCACTGTGAATATGACGCCTTCCTTGTGTTTCTATCAAAAACCGTTCAATAGTTCAGTTCAATTTGGGTTAGGATGACAAGTCCTGACTAGGCAGTCAGTGTGAATACGATCAAGCGGTAGTAACGCGTCACGAATTCACATGGTAGTCGGACAAAGCCCTTTGGCAACTGAAATGAGATAAAAATCTGGTCAGTAGTCGCACCTCGTAGATGACTTGGTAGAGCATCGAGTTAGAGACCCGATGGTCGCTAGTTCGAATCCAGCCGCTGTCGAAATCTTCATTTCACCTTTAATCACCCTGCAGTATAAATTTCAATGTATTTAGTTGTCTGAAATCTATGTCATAACCCAGTTCCTTTCAATCTCTCACTCCCTACCTATGTTCAGTTCCGATAGCTCATTAACAGAAATGAAAACGTCCAGTGATGAACAAAGTCATCCTGATCAAATTTGGTATCATTTCATCTATGAAACAAGTGATAAACAACCAAAAATGAAATCACGATTTCATCCTGTGAGTTTAAAGCGCTATGAAAATGGTATGTTCATCGAACGACTCTATCAGCTACCCAAACAACCACTGAAATAACCAATCAGATTTCTCCCTTTTGTGGGAGGGGGGAATGCTATTCCAGCAGCAATTGACAAGTCTGATTGGTTATTTCAAGGGCTGCTAGGGTGACGTTTACAGTCAGCTTTAGAGTCGTCAGTGTTTTTATAATTACAATTTTTAAAAAGAGGAAGATTTGAGCAAATGCAACTATTTTCCTTAACTCTTCATCAGGCTTTATCTACCTTTAGATCCAATATTTCGATAGAACAAATCGAGTTGGATATAAGGATGGATACTCAACGACTAATTTTGATAAAGGTTGCACCATTAGATTTCAATCTAGTAGCTGAATGGTGAAGTGCTCATGAAGTCAACTTAAGGTCCTGGAGGTTCACTGATATGCATTGCTTCCTGTTTTTCGATAACTCTCCGAATGATATGAGCTCATGTTGAATATTAACATGAAATGTATGGAAAATGTGAATCGAAATGCAAAATAAAGCCAAATCAACTTATTATAGAATATGTGACTGGCTGACAAAATCAGCTTGGAACCTCGCATACATGTGGATCGGCTGAAGTGGATAGGAAACACTGATATCAAAGATGACTAAGGTGTATGGGAAGAGAGAAGAAATCTATAAACTTAGGTTAGTGAAGACACTCAAGCTTTAGGAGACGCCAAGGAGTGAAAACTCTGCTTCAATTTTTCCTTTTGTCTCATGGACCTCAGCCAAGTAGTCTACATCTCGTCACAGCTCAGACTAACAGTAAGAGGCCTCATCTACTGGTGCTACGTCTTGGTTTGGCCACCCTAAACCCTCTTCCAACCTAGTTCAACTTCCCATTAGGAGAGCACATCGAGCTAAGCAGTGGACAGGTATGCGCGGTACGTCCCCAAGCTGTCTCAGTCAACCAAGGTTCACAGACTCATCAATCAACTTGCCTGTCTTAGCTAGTACTCTGCACCTGACCTCAAGATTACTCACATGGTGGTTCCACCAGATACCTGTGATCATAACCCTGTAACCGTTTCATGTCTTCTGCTTTCGACGGCTGTATCTCATCCGTATGACAGGAGACAAGGGACTCCTGCACAGCGTACTTGTATTTTGATAGATAGTCGGATATCTCACCACTATTTGCCACTGATGATACAAGTTGACAAATACCAAACGGGTCTTCTGTATCTGAGCTGATATTTTTCCAGCAACCGGCTGATTCGAGCTGATGAGACTCTTCGAGCAAGTGAAGTGGTTGATACATTCCACCGCTTAATTCCCTATCATTAACTTGGAGTTGCTGCATACCAGTTCTGGAGTAACACTCTGCATTTGAAAGGTGCGAAACGCATGCAAAACATACTCAGATTTCCGCTCAACGCGTTCAGAAAACCCTGCATTGTGCCAAAGTCTTCACCAACTAGGGCAATACCGTCAGCATACTACAAGTCAACCAGCTTGCAACCAGGGAGTTGATCAATCCCTGTGAAGTCAGATGTACATAAGTTTATATCCATTAGTACGTCTCTGATGAAGTTAAATAGGAAAGGTGATAGTGGATATCCCTACTGGACACTACTAGTTGTTGTCACTTCACAAGACAACTCTGTAAGCTGTGACATGACTATGTGAGTTCGAGTAGAGAGCTTTGATTAGCATTATATACTTGCTCAGCACTCCCTTCACAATCAGACGTTATCATAACACCTCACAGTCGACTGATTCAAATGCCACCATGCCGTCAGTTCGAGAAATATGCCAAGTGTCAGCCGACGGCTGGTAGCTATGCTCGTGTTCCAGAACTTGTCGTAGTTTGGAAATATAATCGATGCACCCTAGACCAGGTCTAAAACCGATTTGGTTTTCTCGAGTTTACTGTTCTCAATCTCCAGTTAGGCACTGGATAAGTAAGGATCCTAGGACCTTGGATACAAAATTATTCAAGTTAACTTCCGTCTTGTTGTCACAAGGTTTCTTTCCCTTCTTATAGACTGGGATGATTAGGGAAGTGCACCATTTTGAAAGCACTCCCTGTGATTCTCTTACGCTTCCTAGTACCTCTGTCAGCAATTTTCTACATCCAACCTTAAAAACTTCAGGTAGCAAAACTGTCAGGTCCTGCTACTTTGCATCGTTTTGGGTTCGATACAGCCTTGTCAGCTTCAAGGAGAGTTGAATAACAGACATCGACGTGCCATTCAGGCTCAGGCATGCTGAATTTTGGGCAACTAAAGTGATACTTAGGACCAGTTGAATCATACTTCGAAATTTTCTGCTCAACATTATAGCCGTCTGTCTTAAGAGGTTGTCAGCGTCGCATACAATTATTATTTTTATTATTATTAGTCCCTTGGGTTCCTAGTGGAACATAGGGCTTCAGTAGCACGTCTCCAGTGACCTCTGTTCTCTGAGATCTTTTGAACCTGGTTCCACGACAGCCCAGAAGCTCTCATTTCCTGCTCGCATGACCTCCTCCATGTCACCGTCGCATACAAAATGTCACTTGAATCCTCATGTACCTAAATAATTCGACTTTGTGAAAGAACAACAGACCATTTGAGATATTTTTGCAAAATCAGCACAAGTCTCTTGACTTTCATTAGAATAGCTTCAACAGTTTGAAGGAGGCGATCTGTTACTGCTTGTGGTATTCGATTCGGTAGCTTGTGAATTACTAAGGAAGCAGACTTAATGTTCACATTGTTATCCGTGTCATTCGGTCGACGTTGAATAGAATTTGTAATCTTCTTTACTCATCTTCTGGCTAGTCATATCATGAGGTGTTCTTTTGCGCGTTATAAAAGGGTTCGCGGTTAAATCCCTAGGAGCAAATACACATTCACATATACGCTTGCGGAATCTTATCATTTAGATTTTGTGGTAATGTGCTGGAAGTCAGTCTCAGAATGGCTGCACGAAACATTTTCTTAAACAAGTGTTGTAGTCTGTTCCCAGTAATTTTGGTTACATTATCACCCTTGAATTGAAGGTTGATGATAACTTGCATCTTGCCACTGGTGGAGATGACTGGTTTGTCCGTTCTAGCTATCACTTTCTTTCTAATCAGATTTTCGGAGTATCCATTCTGTCTGAAAATATCCTTCAGGGGAATCCTCCGTATCTTTCCAAATGTATATCGAACCAAGTTTATTTCCTGCTTTAGTGGAAGACAAGGCTACAAGACTGTGAAAGTCATCCTCACCAAGATGCTTTGTCGTAAAAAAAAACACTTCTGAGGATTCCTCTCCTGTCTGATCCAGGTAGAAAGACGTCTATGAAGGAGACAGCACCTGGATTTTCCAGTTCATTGGAGTATTTTATCCACCTAGGCAATTTCTCAAAATTCATTAGTAATTCGTTTACCTTTGTCTTTTTATTACGTATATCATCAGGGGGATCTTCCGTGTTGATTTGTCTAGAATAAGTTATTCTCTGAGCTAGGGACCTAGTTGAAAAACATTTCATTGTCATCCTAGACATCGTCATCAGTGCATAAGAGCTTTACTAGGAAGTTAAGGGATTGGTTTTGCATTGATATTTCTGTAACGTGCTACTATGCCTGACTGTGATTTGACTGGTCACTTGGTGAATGTGTGGACGCATGCTAAACCTGATTGTTTAATTTCATGCCTCTTGCTCTCGTACAGTAGTGTACAACTATGTGATTGGTTAATGATCGATCATGGTTCAGTCAACGACGGTAAGATATTAAAATAATTATACTATGTGATTGGTTAACTTCTTTCGTTTGACTGAATTGATGGAGGTTGTCTCGATCTGATTAGCTGACTCATATATATTGAAGGAGGCAATGTATGCTGATTGGTTGACTTGCTTCTACTGAAGGGATGTTCTTTGCTACTGCTGGTTAGTTAGATTTTACTGGACAGGGAGATTCTTTTTTGTATAGATTGCTTGAGTACAGGTGTTAGGTGAAGTAGACTTGTACTACAATACCTGCATAAATACAAGCTGCCTGTAAAATCTCGTGATATGATGTCTCTCATCTCAATAAGCTTTGACAACCACAACCACACATTCCCCCAGGACAATTTCAAAATACTCGAAAGTGAAAAATCCGAAGCAGCTAGAGAAGTCTTGGAGACATGACATGCAAGTGAATTAACAATGAATGTCTGCATCGACATGGATGTAATACATGAGCTAATTCGTCGACGCGAAAAATACATCAGCACTCATTTACATCAACGTAACTCAAGTAAAACTCAGCAAACTCGCATAGTTAAGCAGTCAATATAATAAGAGTCTGTTTCTTCAGTGAAATACAAGCGAACAGGAGTACCAAAGAACACCCCGCCAGTTGATGCAGTCAACCAATTAGTGTGAAGCATCCCCTCCAATATATATATATATATATATATATATATATATATGCCGACCAATCAGATCTACATAACCTTCATTAATTCACTCGAACAAAAGGATGAATCGACCACATAGTTGCACAACCTTCTGAAAAATCTATGGACAGGAATTCAACCAGTGAGGATTAGCATCCGCCTATGGACTCATCAAGGGACCAATCAACTCACACTCATCAAAGTAGCACGTTATAAGTATGTATACGAAACCAGTCACTTGACTTCATTGTGAAACTGCTCACCGTCTCGGTTTTGCAGAATTTTAAGGCGTAAAAAAGTATAACCCGGATCATGATGGCAAGACCTACGATTTAAAAATATGTGTAATCACAATGTGTAAACTTTAAACCTTTAGAAAATGTGGACAATAAGTTCACCTGTATCAAAACAAACAGCGTTTGGTTACATAACATTGCTTGCCTATATCGATCGATAATTGATGACAGGGTCATCTAGGCTAACTTAAGCTTCCTAAGACTGATCTAAATAGCAATCAGTTGATGGATAAAGTCTAAGATAAAGCTCGGTTGTGGCAGGTTTCGAACCACCCACCTGTGAGTTCCAAGGATGGTCCTCAGCTTACTGGTTTATGAGACTCATTTGCTGATCAGGTCTTAAATTTTACTTCAAATATATAAAGGTTTTACCTGACTATCTTATTCTTGAACAATATCTGACCATTATTCATCATTGAAAGTTTCCAAATCCCTAAAATTCCCATCTGAGTGTTTCATTATTCATTCATCATAAAGGCTGGTTTCATTTGTTTAGAGATACTTTCCAGTACTTTCATATATCACTAGACTTAAATCCACCTGAATAACAGTCGAGGTCCTAGTCGATAAGTCATCCCTACTAGTCTCCTCTTCTAAATAGGATTCCTTACTCAACTAACAATCAGCATTTTCTATCAACCGATCCCAAAATCTGCTTCAACAATTAGTTTCTTTTCATCTAGGGAGGGAAGTGGTTACTCCTTTAGAATAATTATGAAGTTGGATGTACTGTCATGTCCAAAAAGAAAGCTTAGCACGATCATGGCTATAATTTTCAAGTCTTCCTTCTTGAAAACATTAGGTTGTCGCAGGTGATTTAGTGTAATTGCTCATTTGTGTAATCATTTTGACGCTCTTTGTTACCTTCAGCAATGACTTTTTGTCAGAGTAAACTAACTGAATGGTGATAAATAGTGACAACCAGTGATAAACCGGTCATCTCATATACTCTCACCAATAATCAGTGTGATACTTGCTTTCTGTAATCCAACTCACTGTGGATTGATGTGAAAAGACCTGACTTTCACATATCATTCCACGCATTCACATGACAGTGGAGTAGAAACCTGGTCTAGAGCTGGATCTCGTGGCTTAGTCGACAGAACACTAGTTTGATAGCCTGAAGGCTACCAGTTCGAACCCCGTCACCATTCAGACCTTCAGTTTACCTTCGCTCATCATCATTCAGAGTCTAAGCATATTTAACGGTGAAATGAGCACTGAATATACGAAAAACCTACCTTAATATTTTACTCATAAGAGTTGACCTACTTTATTATTAGTCAGTAGTGTGTTTAAACTAACAGGTAATATTCAATGTTCAGTGTCATTTAACCCAGAATCTCTGAATTTTCGGAGTTATTTTATCCAAAGAAATATTGTAAAGATAAGTCGAGAAATCATGCCTATGATTAAAGTTTCCAAGATTTTATTATTGATATCTCAGCTAGTTTCATATCAGCTAGACAACTCGATATATGTTGTCCAATGTACCTTTGTAGTTTTCAAGATACCTAATTGACGTTTAAATCCAACATAGAGTCGCTTGGTGGAATGATTTAGAATCGGTAGCAGCGATGCATTGAGAATGAAACCCAAATGTTATCTTTTAGGATGCTGTAAGGCGACTGACTCCTTTGACTGCTAAGTTACTGCAGTCAGTTTATATATGACGCTTCCCTCTAGGTTTACTAGGCTTCTCATCTAGAATATCTAACCAAAGAGACTGAGTTGTCACATGTAAAATGGCTTTAAAGTTTATAGGAATCGGTCAATTTCTAGGCAGTATTCCTCATGGAGAACTTTTGGGCAGTAGGCTGCTGTTTCACCGTAGTAAAGGACTCCTCAGCAGCACACACTCCTGAACTCGCTTGTAACCGAATGCATGACTTTTAGGTTATGTGACGAGTACATTGCCATTGAGCCACTAGACCGAAGTCTAAAAGTCCCAATTTTCCTACTTCTGTCAATTTTTGATATAATGCAATGTCAGCAGTGGACATAAGCTTCACGTCTAACTTGGTTGACCCCTCACAGGTCAAGGATTCTCATTAAAACTCTGGGAAATCCAACCCGAAGAATGTTACTAGTGAGTTTAGAGATTCGTGAGCATTTATTGATTTCAACGTATCGTACATCATTATAGACGGAGTTTATTCTTCATACTGTGACGAACAAATTTAACTGAATATCGTAAATGTTTACTTTACAGGTTGGTTCAGCACATAGTATTAACTCTGTACAATCTGGAACGGCATCATCTGAGCAAGGATGTACAACACCAGTTTCATCAATCACGAAATTACAACCAATCAAGGGAATATCAAGATCTGGTTAGTAAATTGAAATAAAAGTGTCAAATAATTTTGTCTGTACTATATGGATCCTATTCAGTTGCTTATAACTCTGAACTACCTTAATACCGAAGTATATATCATAGATATACCCGTCGGTTATGAATGATTTGATGAAGGCTTGTCAGTTAAACTAGAAGAAAACATTGACGTAGGGCGACCGTTGTGTCCTCGGCTAATTAGTCTTTGCAGTCAATTATCCATAGGTGGGCCATGGGTTCGAACCCACTTCCACTCCCTATTGAAGTTTGTCCAGCTAGGTTGTGCCACATCCCTCATACGATTAGTATGGTCTAGTGCTGCGTTTATTTACCACTAGGTTGGTCTAGAAACAGTGGAAGTGAATGGATTTATGGAGAATGTTCATAATACAGACTGTTTCTTATATAATTGGAAGCATATTAAGGAGGAAAAAGGATCCAACTGAGTAGTGAGTTTTAACAGTGGTCTCTGGGAACTTTATGCTACAAAACCAATGGAAGGTTAACCTAGTTGAACTGAATATCGTTCGATGGTAATCCAAAAGGAGGGAGAGTGAAAAGAAATACGGACATATGAAATGATAAAATTACACAACCAGTAAGTAATCTCTTCTGTGAACATTCAGATTAGACGAAAATGCTTTTGAGTATCTTTCCTCTGACTTTTAATCCTTCCTAAGTTGATTACTCTTAAGGAAATGAAAGTTTCCTTGAAGTCAACGAGGTTATGTATCATTCTGTAATAGAAGTGCCTTGGATATGTTTTGTGTCTGTCAAGCTACCGCTTACTTTCACTTGCGGTGTCAGCTAGAGTAGGATTGAATTGAAAGTAGGCTGAGGGTGGTCAGACTGTGATGTGGTATCAGTCTATAGAGCCTCTGATGGTTGATCTGAACCATGCAAGGAGGTGCAGACCGCTTTGTTGGGGTCATCGAAATAATAGGAGCCAATGGTTAGAGATTCTTGGTGATATAGCTGAAAATCGATTATAATGGAGCAGATCCATACAATACTTGTCATCTTTGAAGGTTTGAACATATTCATTCATACTGTATACCCTATTGTCAAGTTCTGTGTCCTTCATTATCTACCGAATAGGTATTTTTGGATGACAGTGAGAAATCTAACAACTTAAGCTGTAATACGTTTGTGGATGAGATTTTGCATTGATCTGTTTCTTCTGTCATGCACCAGTTATGTGAATAGAACGAAATGATGTTTAGGAACCTCTAGAAAAGACTATGTTAAAATTCTGTCTAGCTGAATCTGTTAAAAACAAGAAAAATTTGTGATAACATGTCATGAAAATATGCTATAGACTCACTGTCAAATGATTAGAAGCAGTTGCCAAGACGCCTTTTATCCAAGTGATAAAAAAAGCGGTCAAAATGAAAATCAACATTTTAGATTACTAGCCGCTAAAGTAGATGTTTTTTTATTTTATTAGGAAGTGGCCATAAATGGAAATCATCATTCAAGGTCATTCGCTGTGGGGGCAGAAATATTTTCGTTTCATACTGTTGATTGGTCAAATTAATTTTACTGAACATTTTTACCCCTCAGCTGATTGGTGATCTAGTGACTTCATCTTCTGAGTAGAAGCTGTATATAAATACTGTTTTCTTTGTCAAATGAAGATCGTCTTCCTTAAGTCAGTCGCATGCCTATCTTTTGTCTTCTGATTTTCGCGGCTCAGTGAAGTATCAGGTGTGGGGGAGAACAGTCGCATTACTCGTATCCAGTCCTAGTATCTCGTTGTGTTATTATTTGTCTCAGTTATAATTAGAACCAACGTCCTACTCCGACGCGGTCATACCGTATTTCAGTTTTTGTTTCACGTCACTGTATGGTCAGGAAAAAACCTAATTGGACAATTTTCTCCTTAAAACTGTCCAATGAGAACAAACTATTCAACTTTTGACCTAGTGGTTTGAAATGTTCATAAAACTGTTTATAAATGATGCATTTTTTATCGAATAAAGTGTCTTCCCCACAGTCACGGGCTGGTCTTTATTTTCTGATATTTTTGTGGCTCAGTCAAGTATAAGGTACTGAGAATGAAGAATCACTATTCCCATCCAGTTCATTGGTTTCATTGTGTTAGTATCGCTCGTGTATTCCTTATTATTCACTCGAAGCCTCTGAAAAAGCGGTGCTTCCTTATAAATGCGATCTTACATCACGTCCAGATAGTCTGTTACTGAGTTTCGTGTGGCATATGACTGACTCACATCATCCAGTAAGTGGCTATTATTTCTCGTCATGGTTGCAGACACCTTATTATTACTATTATTTGTCCCTTGGATTCCTAGTGGAACATACGGCTTCAGTAGCACGTCTCCATTTCGCTCTCTTCTCTGAACACTTTTTAACCTGGCTCCACCACTGCCCAGAAGCCTTCATTTATTCCTCACACTATCTCTTCCATGTCACCCTCGGAAGCCCAATTCGTCGTTTCCTCTTTGGCTTCCACTCAACGATCTGGCCTGGCGCGTGATGTCTCCAAATGATCTTCTCAGTGTATGTCCAATCCAATCCATCTCCACTTCCTTCTGCATATTTGTTGTGTGATAGGTTCTTGGTTGGTTCGTTCCCAGGGTTTCTTGTTGCTTATTCTTTCTGGCCATCTGAGCTTCAGCAGCGAACGTAGGCGGTTGTTGATGACTGTCTGTAGTTCGTTGGAAATGCTTTTCGTGATGCGCCAAGTTTCTGAACCATATAGCAGCACTGACTTGACGCTGCTGTTGAAAATCTGGATCTTGTTCTTTGTGCTGAGTGCAGTAGATCTCCACACTGGTTTCAGTCTAATGAACGCCTGTCTTGCTTTGACGTCTTCATCTGTGCCACCTGTAGTTGAAACGATGTACCTTTGCCTAGGTCGGTGAAAGAGACCACTTCCTTTAAGTTTCTCCCACTGATGGTGATTGTTGCTTGTTGCTGTTGTTGTTGTTGGTTGGGTATCTTCATCACCCCTGTTTTCTCTATGTTCACTTGAAGTCCCATCTTCGCTGCCCCATCTTTTCTGACAACCTGTTAGTTCTCGCTTGTAGATCTTCGAGTTTGTATGACATCAGACATAAATCGTCATCGGCGAAATCCAAATCTTCTTCTAGGGTGTTTCCATCGTTCAAGTCAGCTTATGCTCATCTTCTCGCTCCTCACAGTTTGTTGCATGATCCAGTCTAGTCGACCACAATGAGGAAGATCATCGGTGATGGATAGTAGGCAGCTTTGTCTTAATCCTGCAGACACCTAGTCCTCGTGAATGTTAATAAACATGAAACTGATTTTAAGGACTTTCGGTAGACCTCTCACAGTTATTGAACAGTGAATTCAGCGTATCATTATGTCGAACTACTTCTCTTGATGATCAACTCGTAAACCAGATCAACGGAGCCTGGCATATTAAAAGCTTTCAACAAGAAATGAGACCACTTGTAAGACCATTTAAAATCTGGAAGCACTGGACAGCTGTGTCTTCCTGATTTACTGGTTCACTAGCGAAGTGTATTCAAAAATCCACAATGGGCCAAGCTATGGACCCGTCATGCTTTATGGTGGAAACACCTCATGATGAAAACCACTTTGAACTCAATCAATTCCTACAAACGAGCAACTAAATAAATATGTCACCTCATTTTTCAGGCACTTTAATATCTAGTGCAGAAAGCGGACTAAATACGTAACCTGAGTGTTAGAAGATTTTCAACGTGATTGCTTCCATTCCATTGGAAATATCAGTAGCATACTTCATGCATGACCTACCTTTTCTGAGTTCAATTTTGTATGGATTTGAGGAGGTATCAGCTAGAAGAGAACAAGAGTTCGCTGTCGTTTGACTTTTGGCAGCTTTTTGCTGGTATGTCTGAGGCTTGACATCCTATCGAACGGACCAGTCGTTTCCACAGAAAACCAGCACGAAATTACGCGGAAGGTATTTAAATACCTTAGCACAACTTAGCACATATTTGTGCTGCAGACAAGACACTAAGCCTGTCGCGTAAACGCTAATGATTATTCCTAGGTATCCACACTTTAGTAAGAGGAGCAAGGTTCTAATGTGTAACTCACTCGCGTAAACCCAAATGCCTAGTTCAGTGATCCAGAAATTAGGCTATTCACTTCATTCTCTGCCTCCATTATCAATCCTTCAGACAACTTCTTGATGTAGTTAGGGCTGAAGATGTCATCAAGTCTAGTGACGAAACATTCACAACAAACCTCAAAGAACATCAAACTATCATCAACAACTGTTTTGGTTCCGACAACTAGTATCAGTGTAAAATTTGCCTCCTATTATTCAGATGAAGTCTACCGTGTATAAAAATATGTACCGTTTAAAGGATACAACTTTTTGTGTTTTAGTTGTAGGTTCAACAGATGACCTGTCTGATGGACAATCAACTCGACTTTCAAAATCCGGAGAACGTTTCAACCTGTCATCACCAATGAATAGCCAGGAGAGAATTAATTCAGCAAATCCGATTCATTCAACATCAAGATCACTGACTAATAGTCACAAAAAAATCAATCTCTTATCTAGTAAAACTGACACATCTGTACCAAATCGACGTTGTGTACAATTCTTAAAAAAATCTTATTCACCTCAATCAAATGAAAAGTTTGTTTCATTACCATTCTTTTTAAAGATTACTTAGATACTTATATTCCTTATCATTTATCCTGGTGATGCCTAGAAACGGAAATCACGATATAGGTTTCGTCCTTCCGAGGCGTCATCAGCTGCAGGCATCTACATTTTTGTCAGTGCTAGCGTATTCATCTGATAAGCGTCAAATTAAAAAGGAGTGTGTGAAAATGTTTTTTTTTATCGATTATTAGTAACCGTTGGAAACTTGTAGTTCGTTTTGTACGCGTTAGTCAACTTTCATCTTACTTCAGTCCGCGTTCACTCCTGATAAGATCAGAACCACATGGGTGTACTGATTGTCCAGTATTCATATCAGCCTCAGTTAGTTAGTGACTACCCCTGATTCGTAGTTCAACTTGTGTGCACGCTTACAATCCTGACGCCATTGAAAACTTTACTATTTCTAAAGAAAGTCTTGGTGGATATGATTCATTCATCTTGGTGATTAGCAATGGAATCCAGAACGCACGTTTCGTCCTACTTGAGACACGTCAACTGGACGTAGCTGCACTTCAGTGAGTGCTGTTATTCCCACTGAAGATACTGGAACCCATTATCCATTGCATCAAACGTCAAAACATTGTCCACCTATTCTTCATCTATTTTCATCATTTTCACAAAGATCCGCTTTAACAACTAGTATAGTTTGCAATTTATATGGCTATTGGTGTCCACTCTTCTAATCGATTGCATATCGAGACGTCTAGTGTTGGATTATTGGAAGTAATCCATAGAAAATTGATAATCTGTATTGTAAACATGATGAAGACTGTCTTCACAGCTCATGATGTAGTTAGTCATCCTAACAGTATGAAAACCGCTGGTTCAAATCCCATTAAGACCTACGGTTTGCTTAGAGGTTGGAAATCATATCACTGATACTCACATCTTTGTTTTAGAAACCAAATTCTGTTCGATCTAAACGTTTACCCCTTGAGTCATCCTGAGCTTCCTTTACATTGAAATGAGATTAACTGACGTTGAATCATCTAGCCGCTCAAGAAGGAAATAATATTGTCACTAACACTGTGGAAACAAGAGATAAGGTTAAGTATCTAAGATACTATTGGTCACCTCAGATTTAGCATGTATGCAGTAGTGATGAGTGTCGGTAACCACGAAACCCTATACTGAAATCTTTTAGCTAACTGCTTCATATTGTTCAATACTGTCAACAGAACAATAATATTTGGTAGAAATTCTTAGGATTATTATCTTTCTACACATTTGACATGTCCAGCTAACAAGAGACATGACCACTGTCCACTTCGATGATAACCCGAACGTGGCTGGTTCGAATCCCGTCGTTACTAAGATGTTATCTTTCAGCCTTGTTTCTACATCATCATCATCTTTGGTTTTCTACCCATTTTAGCCAATGGGTCAATTATAGAAATCAAATTCAAAACTTGGCAAAAGAAACTCTAACTGAAATGGCTGTAAGTTTTTTTCTCTCCGAGTAATATTAAATTAATCATTGTTTTTTATTGTGTGTTGTCACTCACTGGTATACAGTCAATAGTGTTTTAGATCGGCAACTGGTTGTTTTTGATAGTTATCTGTCATATCGTCCACATCCTCCAAGGAAGCACGAAATCCCCATGATCCTTCACTACCAATCAGTAAACCCCCTAAATTTTCAAGAAGACATTTGATCTTATGTGCATAGATGAAACCATTTGAAGAGGAGAGTGTCCATACACACTATTTGGGATACCTGATCCCTAAGAGAATCTAACTTATAACATGTTTATATTATCTTTGTAAAATTTAAACTTTGTTTTCGCGACCTTTCTGTGTCATTTTTACCACAGTTTAGGATACTAAATGCTGATTGGTCCATTTTACACTTTTAATATGCTATTTTGTTCTCCCTGGTCAAGGCCATCTGAGGGTAAATAAACGACTAAGTTTCCAGCTATGAGAATTCGGTTGAAGTAAATATACTTTCAATTCTGTCGTCTTCTTCTGGTGTCAGCTGGATATCGAGTTCAGAAGTCATTGTTAATCATCGTTAATCATATTGTGTCGGAGCATTGTATCGTTATATATACCATGAATCATAACACATACATCTTTCTCTTGGCTTACTACCTTTTTCAATTTCGAAAGGTTCGAGAGACGACCACCAAGGATGGGACCTGTAGGACTTGGGTGTTTGATAACTGAAATCTTTCAAACTGCCAAAAATATGCAACAGTATTTCATGTTGAGTCACTATCGATTAACGTGTATTGAAACCGTCAGTGGTTAATGAATACACTCACGTTTAAGTTTTTGATGTTGTCACATTCTAAGAAGCTGAATAACCTAATTGTAAGGTTTTCTTTAACCTCCTAGGCAAATAAATGGTTGAGTGAAAGATTAAGAGAGAAGTGAGATAAGCTACTTTCTTCACCATTAGGGTTAGCAGATTGTTCTGGCAGTTTGTGTAGTTGAACTGTGTGATGAGTGTCGAAACAAAGGCCATTGACTGATTAGACTGAAGTTACGTAATTATATGGTTGAGTGATGCTTTTTTCATAATAACCTGTTTATCGATTGATATAATGTGATACGCTAACGCCTGTGTGTGAATGCCTAAACAATGATCTTCACATCCCATTCTTATTGGCCGTTTGGATTCTACATAAAAACCTGTAGTAAAGCAATAGAAAGGTATATTGTAACGTTAAACTGTGAAAAAATTCGACTCTTTCTCTTTCTTTCTTTCTCTGATCTTGGTTACTGAATTTTCCAGAAGCGGTATTCTGTATTGATTTCCACCTTCAACTTTCCTGATGCAATATATATAACATACAAAGCGCGGACTAGACCCGAATTTCTTGCCAGTCAGAAAAAGATGCATCCTCATGGTAAGAGTATATGGATGCACTTGCTGATCGCTCGTATACTACATACATACTGAGGGGATATACACTTATGTCATGCATACATATACATAGATATGTGTACACTCTAGGGTCACGCATACATATATGATATTGTATTTTTGTGACCACGTCTTCCCTCAAAACCTTAGCGTAATACAGGTTGGAGTTTTATAGGGAATTATTGATTTTAAGTTAGCATTCATCACATACTGACATCATTTGGAGAACCAATGAGTACCTGGAAGCTTAGACAGCTGACTTTTCCCAGCAGTGTTCATCTACGACTCTCCCCCCAAGGATTGAATCCAGTATCTTCAGTTTTCGCAGCCGACATTTTACCAGTGGATCACTTGGTCCGTGATTAATACCTCCTTGAAATGAATAAACCCGCACTATCGTCTAATTCTCATTGGTGACTTTCTTTCAGATGAAAACTCGTGACCAGTGGAACGTGAGAACGAACACTCATCAATGGCATTGGATGATCGTCACGCTACGTCGCGAACTGAGAAAAGTAGGAAAATATGGGCGTCTGAGACCTATTTTAATGGTTTATCGGTAACGTGGTTGCTGCAGAACCTGAAGGTCCTGGGTTTGGTCCCTGGAGGATTCGTGGATGCGCACTGCTGAAGACTGCCATCCAGAAATGAAGCAGCTGTCTGATCCTCCCAGGTTTTCAACGGCCCCCCAACTGATATTAGATCGTGGTAAATATCGTCTTGAAACCTCGAAGTATGTTAATCATTGTAATGTTGGTCTTGGTGATTAGCAGAGGAATCGACGAGAAGCGTCTCGTCCTGATTGGGACCCGTCAGCTGGATGCACCCGCATACCAGCAAGTGATGTTGTCTCTACTGAGACTCGAACCTGTCACCTTTCTCTCTAAACTCCAAAGCGTTGTCCACTAAGCAATTGGGGTACGATAGCTACCTCTTGTGCAACGGGTATCAGTTGTTATAATGATACTTGTAATTTCCTGTTGCTACACAGGTCCAAATCTCTCGACCTCTGTCAGTAGACAGGCTCGTGTACAGATGCCCCGATAGTGGTGTCAGAAGGCAGAACAACCAGCCAGAAGAAAGATATATAGTTTCTATAAGATGAAAACCTTAATCACACAAAATGTAGATCTCTGGAATACGAATAAATTAAAATTATACCAGCAGATCACTAACTAACCAATTAATTTGATGTCAGATCGGTCGGATTTCTCATGGTTATATCAACATCTGACTGTTCATTCTTGCATTTTAATTGGTTACTTTAGTAAAGTGAGCTAAAACATACTGTAATACTGGAGGAATTTCCAGAAAGTTCTCTATGAAGATGCAGAATCCTCTGAACAATTCGAATAATGATTTTAGAACAGTTTGAGATGCATTTCTGATCAATCAAATGAAAACTGTTACTTCAAGGATGGTTTGCATGAATATTTTGTTTGAAAATAGGGAGTAATTTTATTCTTCCTACTTCATTGTTTCTCATCTTGTTGCCTTAAATCTTGTTATGCTGGCGTGACCAACGCGGACCATTACTTAGCACTTTCAGATATCATGTTGATACTGACTGACTGACCTGACTGACTGACTGACTGACTGACTTACTGACTGACTGACTGACTGACTGACTGACTGAGTGGGAGGACACTGACTGTAAGGGTTGACTGTAGATTAGTCTGTTTCGTTTCACAACCTCATCGACTGACCAGATTTCAATACAGATTAAATGTTCCTAACACATCTGAGTCATATTTCAAGCATCATTTATTGATCATCTGTGACATACCTTTTATGTCCAATAATCGAAGGTACAAGGTAGGACCGCTATGCAGTTTATTTGCTCCTTAACAAATTTGTTACGTTCACATTGATTTGTCCTCCCAGCCGGAGTTTTGATTAGCGAATGTGTCAATGTCATGCTAGAAATCTCAGTCAGTGCACAAGTACATCACAAGAAACTGAAGTAAATTATCTGCCCATAGACATCTACAATGTGCTACTTTGCCTAAGTTCAACCTGACTGGCCGTTTGATGAGTGCGTGGATGTCTATTGAACTTCACTGGTCAACATTTTGCCTTTATATCATTCATGAGCAGTCAATTTGTTTCACCTTACTAGTTATGCTGTCTTCCATGACACTGGAACGTTTGTTGACAAAATATCCTTGACAGTTTCCAAAACTTTCATACTTTTATCTTCCAATAAAATTTCACCCAAGTGACCTTCTTCATTTCCTGTGTTGAAGAATTCTACATCGTAAATAAATTTCAATCCAAGAAGGCTACCAGATTTTGACTTGAAAATGTGTTGGCCATCAACAAAAGTTTAATATTGGATGCAAAGAAAATTGCCTTTATTCACTTGACACCTTATAGTGGGTTTGCTGCATTTTGGTATCAAGTTACCATTGGATGCGATGAGCAATGCTGAGGTCAAACGAAGGAGACTAGGCAAGAAAGATAACTTGATTGATGTGGCTGTGGCTGAGATGACTTCGACATGTACTGCACATGCTAAGCCATCACCTACCTCAACATGCCATGCTAGGAGAAGTTAAATTAGGTTGGGAGAGGGTTCAGGGTGGCGCCAGTCCATGAAGTCTGATTATTGATATCAGCCAGAGGGGTGATGTAGACTACCTAGCAGAGAGCCGTGAAAAGAAAGGAATCAGTGGTGCAGATGTATTCACTTCTTGACGTCTTCTAAAGTTTGAATACACCCACTAAGTGTCAACTTTAGATTGTTTATTCTCTCATACAACTTTTTCTGCGTTGATAACACTCTTTCTCTTTGTGAACTACTGTGAATTATTGTATTTCTGCTCAAGGTTCTGTCTATCTATTTATCTGTTTGCTTGGATGTCCATCTGTCTGTCTGTCTATCTGTGTCTGGATGCGACTATTTAGCGATATCGCTCAAAATCGACATCACCGCGATGGATACTTTTCGTACATTCTCGTTGGTTACAGTGTTCAGTATGTCTTTTGTTATTATAGATACTTGATTTTACCCTTCTTCAGATTATGTAATCATATTTTTTACTTCTCTTCTGTGCATAACATATAGTTTATCTTATCATTCCTATATTCATATTTCTTAGCATCGAATTGAAGTTGAATTGGATAAGGAAAGTTTGAAAGAAGCTGAATTACGCATGATCACCAGTAGAGGTGAGATTCCTTCAAAGAATTTTCAGAAAAGGTAAGATGATATTTTTTTTATTCAATGTTGGTTATTTTAAATACAAAAAAAGGAATGATAATTCCATATTCCTTTGTCTAAGTGATATACAGAGATTCTTGATTAGAATCTGCCATTGGTTAACTTTTCATTTCATCTTCAATTATCACTCAGTATTAATAATACAAGTTTGCTAAACTATGACTATCTTAGATACTCAGAATGATAATACTCTCCCTCTCTAATTCAGTTAGATTTGGATTCCAATGAGAAGTTCTGTGAGTACGATTAAGTGATTGTAACTCGTCAAGAATTCTCATGACCATCGTCGGGTAAAAACCCTGGTGATTGAATTGAAAGAAAAATCCGATCAGTAGGTGGGTCTCATCTCTTATTCGAATCCTGTTGAGGCCCAGATTTCTATGTTACCTTCAATCACCATTCAGTATTGAATTCCTTTGTCAGCTAGTATCCATCATTAATATTTGGCTTGCATCTCATTTCCTTTGAATCCTAACCGCATAAATATCATTCTCTTAGCTGGTTTAATTCCTGGTACGTATGATCTTGCATTGAAGTTACTGATTTATCTCCATCGTTGACATCATTTCGTCGTTTGGCACTGAAATACTCTTCAGTTTCTGTAGGGTACATGGAAGCGGAACTAGATTAGTTTTGCGTGATCACACAGCTTAAGGGATGTCTCCTTGAGGTCGGTCGGCTGGCTTCGAATCCAGCTGTAAAATCTACACTGATGGGACGGAAATACCTCAGTGCACCGGAGAGTGTGATATTTTGGGGATAGACGATTTCAGACACCCCATCTCCCCACAGGGAAGACAGTATCTACAGGAACTTGTGGTCATCAAAGGAAAATACTTTGTAGCTGTCACACTCATGTCCAGCGAGTAGTATGACTTCATCGTTTGACCCCAGCGTAGCACGTTTGCTTACATTATGACGGTAACTGCTTTTCATTTTAGCATTCACTATACAACCGGAATTTGTAGCATAATATGATATCAAGGAACTAGTATTCCCCCAGCATAATACGTTGGGTCATTGGAGAATGCAAGCTCAATCACCAGGTTAAAGTAGCAGCCGTTAGTTGAGCATTATGAAGGCGGTTAAGAGTGTAGCCAATTTCAAGTCATTTCTTAGAGTCTCTAATCATCGATTCTTAAGATGTTAAGAACTCCCGTCGGGTAGCCTTTAGCTATCTACACGGCATATATCAAAACTGGGAGGTTTCACGGATTGTTACTATTTATTGACATACTTGTTACTCTCCGTTGTTTCGTTGGATCGAATTGTTCAACCTCTATTGGCATATGGGCTTCTATGCGGATACCTTGATATTGCCTGAATGTTAGTTATGATAAATTGGTTGGTTGTGGCTAGCAGAAGAATCCAGGGCAGGCGTCTCGTCCTATCTGGGACTCGTCAGCCGGACGTATCTGCACCCTAGGGACGTTGTTCCCACTGGGACTCTAACCTCGTACCCATCACCCCAAACGCCAAGGCGTTACCTACTATGCCACGCAGGGACGGCAGCCACTTCTTGTACAACGGGTAGTAGTTATTACTATTGATTAACATTCAGGCAATATCGAAGTATCCGCATAGGAGCCCATATGCTAACATAAGTCGAAAAATTCGATCCAACAAAACAACGGAGAATAACAAGTATGTCAATAAATAGTAATAACTACTACCCGTTGTACAAGAAGTGTCTGCGTACCTGCGTGGCATAGTGGGTTTGTATAACGCCTCGGGGTTTGGGGCGATGGGCACGGGGTTCGAGTCCCAGTGGGAACAACGTCACTGGGGTGCAGGTACATCCAGTTGACGAGTCCCCAGTAAGACGGAACGCCCGCCCTTGGATTCTTCTGCTAGCCACAACCAACCAATTTCCCATGGATTGGTTCAATAGTATACCAAGATTATCTCCAGCTTTCTAACAACCCGGCTTTATTTTATCAAGGTAATAACAGAAATTTGGGCATTGTTGCAGAGTACACGTGTACATCAAATTCGTCTATTTGATATAGCACACATTTGATATGGAGTAGTAATTACTGGATAACGTTTTGAGCACAATTTACTACTCATCTTCATATCGACGTAATCATACGTCTTTCAAACTTCACTAGTCTGACAGTTCTTCATTGTTTTATCTTAAAGGCCGTAAACATTTTCGAAGATCTTCAATATACAGCGAATCATTCCTGTTACATGTGTTAGATGCTGGCTGGTTCAATGAATAAAGATTCTGTGACCAATCTCTCCCTCCACTTAGCTAGGTATATTGGATTTTAGAACTATCGCTCTACCACATCCACTCCATAGTATGATTATAGGTCAGTGTATGCAGACCGATAGCCGATTGTTTTCTCTGAATTACTTATCTTAGTCCGGTCTACCATTGTGTGTTTCACGAAATTCTCATGTTTTGCTATTCTGACTGACACATATCGGCTGCTTTGACCTATATACTTGACCTCACAATCATTGCACAGTATCTGATGAGTAAGGGTTTCTGAATTGGCTCTACTGCATCTTTTAGTGAGTTTGTGGCTTTAAATACCACCCTGACCCCAGCAGTGTTAAGAATTCTTTATATGGCAACACTACAGACGATTTGGACTCCCCCTTAGGCATGTTGGAATCATATTTAACATTACCACCTCCTCTCTTATCAGTCCTAATAAACGTTTAATCAATTTCGGAGGGTAGCTGTTAGGATGGAGTGTCTCTTTGATATGCTTCGTTTCCACACTTAGGTCAAACTCCTAGGTCGATTCCATTTTAGTCTGTTTATTAGAAATATTACATAGTGAAATAATATTGTTCATTTACTGGATAACGTTTCAGACACAACTTGTTGTCCATATTCATATCAGGTAACTAACTTCACAACTTCGAGACAGAGTTTATATATTCCTAATTTTCTTCCCTTCTTTGTGATGACAAGAGTAGTAGAATTTTCCATATATCTCAGACAGGTGCAAAATCACTCATGTTACTGCATGTATTTGGTGTTGATTCCGATCGGCATGGCTCTATAGGCAGTTAGAAATGAGCTTAAGGATAACAAAGAGCTTAGGCATCGAACTGGGGTGCCGATCAAGGAAATGATGCGAGGAATACGATTGTGCCTAACATCTACAGTTTTTGAGTTTCAAAACAAAATATATAAACAAACTGAAGGTGTTCCCATAGGATCACCAATATCCCCTATCGTCGCAGACATATTTATGGATGTTTAGGAATAGATGACCCTTCAAAGGTTTAGTCCTTCTCCAAAGATATGGTTCTGATATATAGATGATAGGTTTACAGTACTGAAATTGGAACACACCAATAAGTTCTGGGTACATACAAATTCAGTAGTGAATTCAATCTAATTTATCTGTAACTTAGAAAGTGAAGAAGGTGAGCTAGCAATGTTGGATTGCAAGATTAAACGAATACAAGAAGCAAGCCAAGAGACTAGTGTCTATAGAAAACCTTCCCATTCGATTCGGTACTTAGACTTCAAAACCTCCCACCCCAGGCTTAGTTAAATGCCTGGGTGATAGAGCGAGAAAATTTACGACAAGAAATTAGACACATCAAAAATATCTGGCGTCTTAATAATTACTCACCAAAATTTATAAATAAGTTTATCAGAAATGGAAACAAAAGTATTAATAGTGGTAATAATGATAATACAGGTGTTATTAATTCTACTACTAATGGTAATAATGGTGACAGGGTTGGGAGAGACATTCAAAGCTTCTACTGTGTTATCATACAAGGAGAACACCTCAGAAGTATCGCAAATAATTCTCAATAAGACTGAGTGGGATTAAAGTGACTGGCGTTTAAACTAACAAACTCGCTTTGAAACAAGTTTTGTAGCTTAAAAGATCCTATTGGTACAATTCAGCAAAATAACCTGGTTTACCAAATCTCTTGCATCAATGATTATGGGGTCAAATACATAGGTCAAAACAGTCGACTAACCAAGGTCGATTAGAATAAAAGAGAACATAATCTTAGCTAAATCAAAATTACTACACGCAATTCCACATTATCTCATACAGTAGGGTGGGATAGAGCGACAGAGTTAAAAACTAACATAGTTGGATAGAGAAAGAGGAAATTAGGAGTGTATAAACTCTGTCTTGAATTTGTGAAGTTAGTTACTTGATATGAATATGGACAATAAATTATATTCGAAACGTTATCCAGGCTGAGACAATGGGAAATTCAAGCATCTAATCGACTATGTTGGCTTCTTATGAACACTCTATCCTTGATTTTGTAATCCAGCAGAGGGGCAATTCTCCTTCTTCATTTTCTAATTCATAAGTGAATTGGATTGCATCTACTATTGTGCGAAAAACTTCTGGATGTGTTCTGATTTCAGCACAGTAAATGTATCATCTACCTATCATCACATCATACTTTTGGGGTGGGTTGGAATGTCTCTCATGTCATTTGTTCCCAATTGTCCCTGAATACGTATACTAAGATCGAGGATATTGGAGATCCCCTCACTATTCGTTATGTTTGTTTATAGATTTTGTTTTGAAACTTGAAAACCGTGGGTGTTAGACATAATCATATCCTTAACATGATTCTTCAATCTAAACTTCAGTTCTGTTATTGAATCAATAGTCCTAGTCCTCCTTTAGTTGAAATTGGCAATTAAGGAAGACGATAGGTATACGTCCGAAACAGTTTCATGATTTCACCTTCTGACTTGCCGTCCTTGATTAGTACTCTGCGTCCACTGAACACAGTGTACAGATATCTACATAATCTTACATCAGCTGAAGGAACAATGGAAACATGGGAGCACTGGATAGCTATTTCGTCCTAGTGTGGGACTCCTTAGGAGTCCGCGCCAATGACCCGCCCTCCAGGGGTTGAACCCAGGATTTTCATTGAGTGTCATCGTTGAGTGTTTGTCCTCATGGATACTAAAAGATGATATCGAGTGATGGTCGCGCTATGTCGTGAACTGGCAGAAATTGGAAATAAGGGCCGCTAGATTCAGACCCAATGGTTCAGTGGTAACCTGTTGGCCATGGAACCTGAAAGCTCTGCGTTCGATCCTTGACAGGACCATGGGTGAGTAATGCTGAGGAGTCCCATGCTAGGGCGAAACAGCTGTCCAGTGCTCTCAGGTTTCTAACATTTCTCCAACTAACTGATGTCAGTCCTTGTTGAATACCAACTGTAAAAATCACTAAATCCCCATAAACCCCCTAATTAAATCTACATAATCTGTTAACAGTATTATTATTATTATCTAAAGTTCATATTTATTTTCATTATTACCTTTTTATAGACCCTTCACAATTGGTTCTTTGAAAGAAATTCCTAAAGAGTTTACAAGTCATAAATTTACAAATCTTGTCGATAATATACGAACTCAACTCTCGATAATGACAGATGAAAAGGCGGTTGAATTGGAAGATCGTCTAGAATTTATGAAACAGTAAGTTGGAGTTTACCTTCTCTGTGTTTCATTATTTCATTTTATACATTTTGTGTTAAACATTCATTTAATCGATAAACTTACTAGTCGTATTTACATTTACATTACCTTAAATCTTATTGGTTCATTTATTTTCATTCAAGGTTATTTGTTCTCGCCTTCTATACATTGATTAGCAAATCTGTCTGGGTTTAGACGTTAGTGAAACAGGTCGTTAAGACCATCAACTTGACCAATGAGGTAAGACTTCTCACCTTCAACAATTCGACAATGATTTTAATCAAACTGATAGTTATATATAACTTCCAGAAAGCCATCAGTTTTCATCACATGATATCATTCATTTCCTTTAGAATGAACACATCAAGATATTCAGCAACAAGGCAAAATATACAGAAATAAGATGAAAATCCCATGAAACTTTGTTGAACCAAGAAAAAAAGACCGGTAAAGAAAGGCAAGGATATCTAGTATAATGGGTTATAGTAAAGGTGAAGTGTGGAAGTATCTTTATCACACTGAATAATACCGACTCAACTATTATCTTTGTTTGTCATATAAACCTCAATTACGATATCTGCAATTCCATATACAACTCATACTATTAATCAGAAACTTCTTGAAAAAAATTCTGGCCTAACCAATCTCTAACTTTTTGAGCAATCTAATTGTACTTCAACTAAGCATCATTTGTGAGTAGACATGTGTAACACATGTTCCAGCCATCTAATAATTTATATCTCTTGGCTAAGACCCTAAGTCCACTTCACGTAGGCATTACTATGGAAGGTAACGGTGTTCAAATACTTGAATCCGTCTGATGTCCTTTGTCTTCAGAGTTCATGTTTCTCAGTTCGTAGAAAAGTACATAGCTAATCACTGAGGTCCAGCCTCTAATCTTATTAAGTAAGTAGTGGAGTTCCCCCCACCCCCCACCCCCCGCTTGAATGGTGAAAAATACAGCTTAAATATTATCAGTGTCTAGCAGACCCTGGATTTTATCAGCATCTTCTTGGAAGAGGAACATATCGTCTACGTCACACAGAAAATCTTTCGCAAAGATATTAACCCATTTGAAGTTGAAGAAGGAGAACGAGATCTTCCTAAACGTGCGTATGTGTGTGTGACAAAGTTGGAGAAGGTTGGAGAGAGTGAATATCATTGGTGCGTACCATAGGATACCTGACTGTATATCCTTACACGACCACAGATGTTAAAGTATAAAGTGTATAGTAGGATAATTTGTTCACCAGGTACAGATTTCAGTGAAAGACACTAACGTGGGACCGTGTATGTTATGGGATCCGAATACTGTCTTCACGTTGAGAAATGCAACTAGCATCAGGCGGCTAATAAATATGCGTGTTCTAGGACCTAGCAGACATTAAAAATCTAGTTGATACCCTGATGGTTAGTCTTTGTTCACATCTGAAGTAATCAAGTGAAAACCAAGAAATATGTGAACAATACTGAGACAATGCAACACTTGAGCTGGATACGAATAGCTACTCCCCTCCCTGACTACCTCATAGTTCATTGAGCCACAAAAATATCAGAAGACAAAGACCGATCTATGACTGTGAACAAGACACTTTATTCGATAAAAATATATCATTTATATACAGTTTACATGAACATATAAAGCTACCAGGTCGAAAGTTAAATAGCTTATTCTGATTGGTCAGCTGTAGGATAAAATTGTCCAATAAGGTTTCTGCTGACCGTACAACAAAGGCAGAAAATAAACTGAAATACAAATCTTCTACCTTAGCAATTGGTGACTTAAAATGTTGATTCCCATTTAGGCCACTTCCTATCAATAATGATGTTTGTGCTCAACGATGAATGCTAAATCTATGAAAATAAAGGAATATTCTTGGTGAAATAAATCAATTAATATATAGAAGTAGCTTTCATCATGGATTATTTAGATCAGCAAGATAATCGTTGGAAACCTGAGAAAAGTGGACAGCTGTCTCGTCCTAGCATGGACCATTTTTGGAGTACGAATCCACGACCGTTTAGGAGATCAAACCAATGCTATCAGATTTCACTGCTATGAACGATATATATATATATATATATATATATATATATATATATATATATATATATATATATATATATATACAATGGGTGTATTGTGTTCTCTGAACTGGGTTATTTACTCAAGGAGCATTCATCCTCTTTCTAGACGACATCATCACCACTAACTTCCCTTTGATGATTGTGTCACTGACTACATCGAATTTCCTGTTGACTGTTCTTCTGCTTCACCTCTCACCTTCATATCGCTTATCATTCTCCTCAATGGTTAATAGATTCGGTCCATGTCTACACATCTCGATACTTATTGCTGACTGACTGACTGACCTGAATGTCAAGCTTCTAAGAATTCTCTGATGATATTTTTTATGTTTCCTCTCTCCGTCCAACATTTCTACATTGTCGAGATTGAATTCATGTCCATAGTTGTTATCCACATGCATTGAGTAATGAGTGATGAAATGTCGTGTTTGACGTTTAATAGGCTATTGCTGTTGAGGTAAACGAAGATGAAGAGGGTAACCACTTTGTCCAATGAAGGATAACCGTAGTTGTTGCTGTTGATTTTGTAAATGATATTTGGTTTGTGTTGTTTGGTTGTTGGGTGCTTTAGTGTGCATAATGTGGTTTATAGGGAATTTGTTGGTTTATGAGCCAGACCAATTCCACCAAGTGGTTTCAGTAATCTTGTCGTGATTTCTGACATATATATCATCACAGAATGTTGAGCAGAAATGTCTTACATTTCAGACTGCCGTATATTACAGCAGAATATAAAGAACAAATGGGTGGAGAAGGAGTGATACTAAAGTAGAGAAAAGAACTAGAGTGAGGGAAGGAATTTCATAGTTGAAGTTTAGTGCTCGAACTTTTGAAGACGTCAAATCGTGAGTACATTTAAGCCTTTGCAACAACCATTGACTCCTATTGTTATCTTTAGGACACCAACCAGGTAATCTAAACCTTTACATGCTGCTCAGATTCACCCTCAGAGACATCATGTATTGGTATCATGTCCTGATCTGGCCACCGTCAGTTTTCATTGAACCCAAACTTACTTCAGTTAACATGGCACGTTGAGGTAGGAGGTTACTTGGGACACACAGAACATGTTGAAGACATCTGAATTAGTAAGAGCACACATCCTCGCAGACTGAATTACCTTCTTCTTCTATTACCGTTTGCCTAACCTCTACATTGCTCAAAAAGGGATTCCATCACACGTGATCAATCCTCAGAAGAAACCTGTGAACGGAGACCTGTATCCTTTTCATATTTTCTACTTATAACGGTCATGTCTCACATGAATATAACAGAAGAGAGTAGGCCGCAGACCAGTATACTCGTTAGTCAAATATTTCTCTGGCACCAGAGATGACGTCAGTTGGCAAATGCTAAATCGGTCTTTTGTATTCGAAATGAGATTGTATGCGTAAGCAACCTATTCCAGCTAATGTAACTCGTCAAGTAAGTACAGTGGTAGATGCATTCGACTACTTCACAACTTATCCATGGACAGAGTGCAACTGTAGACCAATCCTGAAGCATCATCCTATGTTGGACAGGTGAAAAATACATACCCACTTTGTTCTTACAGTCACTGAAATGCATATTAGCTATTCGTTTATCTCCAATTTTCTCTTTTTATCTTCTATAGGATAAGACCTGAGATATGCCTTGCCAAGTATCATAGTATACCTGTGAAAGGACATACACATATTGCTATGAAACGGATGCATAAACTGGCACGTTATGATAAAGCAGCTGGAGAACTGGCTCGTAAAACTGCTCAAAAGAAAGAATTAGCGCCTTGGTAAACCTGAAATCATTTTCTTAAGCATTTAAATATAGTTGTATATCTACCAGTTTTATAATTACTACCATTACTATTATTAGCAACTCTCTAATGACTCTTTTGTGCAGGTTTCCCATTTCTTATTGGCAGTACAGTCTATCTCCACTACCTCCAAGTTCACTTCCTCATCTTTGACAAAACACAGGATTCCTAAGTGTTCCATATAGACTGAGTTGATGATGGCTGCCAAATGCGAAATCAGTGTCAGAAAGAGTTTCATCTGACTCTTCAGCCTAATGATAGCAGTGTAAAACTGACTTAAAGACGTATTATAAGAATTCAAGTACATATATATATATATATATATATATATATATATATATATATATATATATATATATATTGTTTATCCAGAACTGATGGCATTTTTAACATTTGCTTCGTACTTATAGGTGGACTAAGTGAAACATTTGAAAATCGTAGGTTGATATTCATTCAGGATTGATATCATTTAGAGAACCATTAAAAATCTGGGAGAACTAGTCAACTGTTTTGTTCTAAAATAGTACTCTTCATCAGGTTATGAAGAGCATATCAACATTCATCCAGTAGATCAGATTCCAGTTGAGTACTGTCAAGTTTTCAATGATTCTACAATTCACTTCAGTCAGTCGAATCCTTAGAAACTTCAAAAAAGAACTAAGATATGAATACTGCTCATTAGGTCATATTGTTTATTTACTTCAAGACATTTTACGAATGAATAGATTATCAATCATTCTAAAATGGTGTTAGTATTAACTTCATTGAAAAAGATTCAATCAAGGTCAATTTTTGATTTAATTTATTTCAAGTTGTTATTCATCGAAGACTGACATCAGTTGGAGGAGCAAAGGAAACCTGGGAGCACTGGACAGCTGTCTCGTCCTAGTATGGGACTCCTCAGCAGTGCGCACCCACGACCCCACCAGCAGGGATCGGACCCGCGACCTTCAGGTTCCGCGGCCAGCACGTTACCATTGAGCCACTGGGTCAGAATCCAATGCTCCATATTTCCAACTTCTGTTAGCTCACGATATAGCGCAAACCGCCACCCAATGTCATCGTTGAGTATTTGTCCTCATGGCCATCAGGCTTTGACTCCACCGGTCACGACTTGTCATTGGAACTTCGGGAATACTTCAACGATGACATTGGGTGGCGGTTTGCGCTATATCGTGAGCTAACAGAAGTTGGAAATATGGAGCACTGGATTCTGACCCAGTGGCTCAATGGTAACGTGCTGGCCGCGGAACCTGAAGGTCGCGGGTCCGATCCCTGCTGGTGGGGTCGTGGGTGCGCACTGCTGAGGAGTCCCATACTAGGACGAGACAGCTGTCCAGTGCTCCCAGGTTTCCTTTGTTCCTCCAACTGATGTCAGTCTTCTATGAATAACAACTTGAAATATTTACAAATCTCCACAACCCCCTCAAAATTTAATTTAATTTATTGTTTAGTTATCAATTCAAGTTAGCAGACAAAATTTACCAACTTTGAAATTCTTCAGGAAAATAGTTAAAGAATAACTCAACCCATATCGCTGTGATCTGATTAACGGAAAGCTCCCGTCCACTGTTCCTGTCTTTTAACTATTGATTTCGTCTACTAGTATATTTGTGTATAAGCATAAGTCGCTAGAAGTTAATTAAAAGTCAGACCTGTTCAACTTATATTTCGTGTTTGTTCGCCCTCATCAGTCAGGTCTATCAGGAATGTTTTCTACAAAAAAATAAACTCATCTTTTCACATTAGTAGGCTTCACTTAGCACGTAGAACTTGACAAACATGTCGACTACTATCCATTGACCAAGTGACTTGGGTAAACAGTGTCTAACTTGAGGGTCGAAACCCAAAACTCTCAGGTCATTAGTTTGAATGCTATCTGGCGTGAATTACTTCACATACCTTTTCGCATAGTTCCAACCTATATGCTCCATCTATCCTTATTTATGAAGGATTGCGAATCTGTCCGGAGGGAGAAAGGGAATTCATTTGAATCTCATAAGGCTGTTTGTTTCATATATCAAACGCGGTTACCTTAAAATGGCAGCAGACTGATTTATCCTGATTTTATGAAGCGCTGAGTATTTATTCGCTCTAAGAAAAATGATTAGAAGTTACAGCTTCCCTTGATTGAATAATCTCTTTATTTTATCAAACTGGTTAGTAGCTATGATTAGGATACTTGTAATTCCCCATTGCTTTATACAGCCAAATTATTCGACCCCTGTTGGTAGATGGGGTCTTATATGGACGCAACAACTGATACTGGTTCCAAAAGAGGTGGCTATCATGCCCAAAGGACTAGTGGATTGGTAACTATTTTGCTTTAACTGTACTGTATTCAGTATACAAAGTGATCATCACCGGGTAACTACAGTCTGATGTTAAATTTTAGGAACCAGTCAGTAGCGACTTCTCGATAAAAGTTTTGTCCTTATTGGACCGTATGAGTAATGTTACTGCATCACTGTGAGCTATACAAAATAAGCAATCTAATGTGGAACTATTCCCCACTACAGTATACAAGTTCTACGCTTACATTAACAGTGTATAGATTTGGCTTTGGTGCTGCCTGACTTTCCTAGTAGTTTAAAAACCCTGGTTGTATTGTGTTTTCTGAACTGGGTTGTTTACTCAAGGAGCATCCATCCTCCTTCCAGACGACATCATCACCACTAACTTCAGTATGAAGTGGACTGTCAATATCTCTCCGTCAGTGAGTGATTTAGTAGCTTGCCCTAATCAACTCATTTGTGATTGATTGTTTCCTTTGATGATTGTGTCACTGACTACATCGAATTTCCTGTTGACTGTTCTTCTGCTTCACCTCTCACCTTCATATCGCTTATCATTCTCCTCAATGGTTGATAGATTGGGTTCATGTCTACACATCTCAATATTGATTGCTGACTGACTGACTGACTGTCTGACTGACCTGACTGACTGACTGACTGATTGACCTGAATGTCAAGCTTCTAAGAATTCTCTGATGATATTTTTTATGTTTCCTCTCTCCGTCCAACATTTCTACATTGTCGAGATTGAATTCATGTCCATAGTTGTTATCCACATGCATTGAGTAATGAGTGGTGAAATGTCGTGTTTGACGTTTAATAGGCTATTGCTGTTGAGGTAAACGAAGATGAAGAGGGTAACCACTTTGTCCAATGAAGGATAACCGTAGTTGTTGCTGTTGATTTTGTAAATGATATTTGGTTTGTGTTGTTTGGTTGTTGGATGCTTTAGTGTGCATGATAGGGTTTATAGGGAATTTGTTGGTTTATGAGCCAGACCAATTCCACCAAGTGGTTTCAGTAATCTTGTCGTGATTTCTGATACATTCTTTATGTACGTTAGAATGATGCGTTTATTGATTTGTGTCGATGACTTTGTGATTGATGATGTACAGGATAGGCACTTCTGATAAAGTTTCACGGGTAGCCGTTCTTCAAGTAGTTTTCTTCATTTCTCTGTGAAGTTGTTGTACTGTAGTGTGTTCTCACTCTTCTGAATAGAGTCTGCATGCAACTAATTTTGTGAGTTGTTGGGTTTTTGCTACTGTAATTGAGGATTTGATCAGTGTGCGTTGGCTTTCTGTACACTTTGGGTTTTCAGATTTCTGGTATTTTTCTTACTGACTAAAATATCCAGGAATGGTAGTTGGTTGTTCAACTCCTTCTTCATTATGAATTTGATGTCATTGAAAACGTTGTTGATCAAAACTGTAAGTGTTTTCTATATCGTCTTTCTTATTGATGACAAAACTATCATCTACGTAGCGAATCCAAATTTTTGGTTTGATTACAGGTAGAATAATTGCCTATGGTCTCTACGTCACTGTTTCTGCAATTAGTCCGGATGTCGATGATCCCACTGTGGTTCCTCTTTTCATCTGTTTGTATATCTTATCATTGAATTGGAAGTATGTTGTTAGACGGAGGTCGATGAGTTCCATCAGACTTGAACATTTAAGTTTTGTGTGTTCCGAAAGGTTTGTGCCTTCACTGAGCATGTGGGATATAGTTTCTTTGGTTATTTAAGGGTTTCGATGGATATGTATAGTACTGTGACATCGAAGGATACCTATAATTCGTCGTTTCTTCTATGTTAATGCTTTTGATCTTTTCTAAGAATTCCGTTGGTGATTTGACGGAGTGTCCGCATGATTGAATAAGGTATTTCAGTCTTCTAAAAAGTTCTCTTGATATGTTGTATGTTGAAGTTCCCGGAAATAGAGGGATGTCTGTTTTGTGTAGTTTTGATCTACCGTAGAACCAACGAAGGACAGATCCATTCAATTTCATTCACCATTTGTCTGGCTTTTTTATTTCTTCTACTTTGAATAGTTTGATCAAGATTTCATTGATTTTGTTGTCCAACTTTTGGATAATGTTGATTTCAAGTGATTGATATACATTTTCGTTTACAAACTTCGACGGATATCCGTTTACCACGAGTGTATTACTTAGTAATTTGATATCTTCATCTATCTTGTCTGATGTATAGATGTGATAGATCCTATGAAATAATCACTGTATTAAACCTCACTGGTAATGGATTGGATAAAACTGTAAAAACCTGCACATTATCCTGTCCATGTAAGCTTTCTGTAGACATTATGCGTCTTATTGAACCATCTCTTCATCGACTCAAGAGTACGTCTAAGAATGTCACGTGATTACTATTCTCTTTCTCATAATTCAGACAGATATAAGTTTGTACAATGTTAAGTTTTTTCAACAGACAATCTATATCGTCATGGTTCTCAGAAATCATTATGATGTTATTGATGTATGTCTTGTAAAGAGGAATTTTTTCAATGGGATCAGTAACCAGACTGTCGATATAGGACATATAAATATTTCGAATTGTTATTCCTTGTAGACTGAAATCAGTCTACGATGAATAACAACTTGAAATACTTCCAAATCCCCACAACTCCCTCAAAATATAAATATTAGCTATACCTAGTCAAAAGTGTTCACCTTCAAATGTGAAATGAACTTTGTCGGTACATTGTAATAATACTTCCTTCAAAAAAAGTTGCTGTAATAGAGAATTGGAGGTTTCTAGATGATATGTAGACATTATTATTTGTCCCTTGGGTTCCTAGTGGAACATAGGGCTTCAGTAGCACGTCTCCAGTGCACTCTGTTCTCTGCAATCTTTTCAACCTCGCTCCACGACAGCCCACAAGCTCTCATTTCTTCCTCACACTATCTCCTCCATGTCACCCTCACCTCGAACGCCCAACTCGTCGTTTCCCATCTGGGTTCCACTCGAGGGCCTGGTACTTGATGTCTCTGAATGATCTTCTCAGTGCATTCCCAATCCATCTCCACTTCCTTCCACTCCATGTTTGTCGAGTGATAGGTTCTTGGTTGGTTCGTCGCCAGCCAGCCAGCCAGCCAGAGTTCCTTGTTGCTTATTCTTTCTGGTTATCTGAGCTTCAGTAACGAGCCATTGTAGGCAGTTGTTAATGAATGTCCGCAATTTGTTGGAAATGCCTTTCGTGGTGGTGGCGTTGGTTGAGTATCTTCATCACCTCTGTCTTCTCTACATTCACTTGAAGTCCCGTCTTCGCTGCCTCGCCTCTTCTGTCAATTTGTTAGTTTTTGTCTGCAGATGGTCAAGTTTGTGCGACATTAGACATAAGCCATCGGCGAAATCCAAATCTTCTAGGATCTTTTCTCCAGTCCAGTGTATCCCCCTCTTCTCGCTCCTCACTGTTTGTTGTATGATCCAGTCGACCACAAACACGAAGATCATCGGTGACGGTAGACAGCCTTATCTTACTCCTATCTGTCTTTACTTCAAAGGCATCACTGAGCTTCCTTCCCATTGCGAATTACTTGACATATGGCGTCTTCATATAGTTGTTGAATGAAGTTGATACAGGTTTGTGGCACTAAAACTGTAGTGTTGAAGCAGCTGCCAAATTACTTCTTGGTCGACAGTGTCGAAGGCCTTTTCAAAGTCGATGAAGTTAAGGTGTTGAATTGACTGCCATTCTATGCTCTGTTCTATGATGATGCGAAGCGTTGCAATTTGGTCTGCACATGATTTGTTCTTCCTGAATCCAGCCTGTTCTGGCCGTAGTCTCAAATCCAGCGCATCTTTGAGTCTCTTCAGGATGGTACTGCTTAATATTTTGCTTGGGGTAGACAGCAACATGATTCCATGCCAGTTCTTGCAAAGACTTAGGTCACCTTTCTTCGGAAGTTTGATAAGGTAACCCTTCTTCCAGTCAGTCGCCAGCTACCTTTCCTTTCTTCCTTGCAAACCTTGTGCAATAGTGGTGTGAGCGTGTCCGTTGTTGTCCTTCCGTCTGTTCTCAGTGCTTCTGGTGGGATTCCACCTGATTCTTCTGCTTTCCCACATTTCAGTAGCCTTATGGCGTTCATGAATTCGACTCTTGTTGGAGGATTTGTGTTCACTTGTAGTTCTGTGGCTGGGCTGCAGGTGGTATTTCTGGACGAAGTGCAGGTGGTGGTGATGGTCGATTCAAGAGCTTTTTGAAGTGGTTAGGCCCACTGTTTCCTCTGTTTCTCTTCTTTCGTAATTAAATTTCCTTCATCATCTTTAATTGGTTTCGTCTGCGTTGATCTTCTTCCCAGATAGTAACCTGGTTATTTGATACAATGTTGTCAGGTCTCTGTCTCTGCTACCTGCAGCCTGTTCTGCTTCACTTGCCAGTGTGTCGTGGAAGTGTCTTTTTTCCTTGCGTGCACTCTTCTTCACTTCTTTGTCCAGTGCTTTATACATCGTACTCAGTTCCTCATGTCGTTGAGCATCCTTGCACTGCACTGGTTTATCTTCTGCTTCATCATCCTCCTCTTCATGCTCTATCAGCTTCTATGTGTCTATCGAGATCCATTCCTTATCTTCTTTCTTCTTCCTTCCTAATACGGCTGTGCAGGTTTCTTTCCACCTCTCTTTCAAAGAGTTCCAGTGCTCATCCACACAGGTTTCTTCAGGGATGTTTCTCGATATCTCCAATTTTGTCTTGATGGCTGGCGGCCGTGAAGATTTCCTTTGGAGTTTCGTCCTTCACTTTCTGTTTAGGGTGTTGAACTTGAACTGTGGTCTATCACCAGCTCCCTTGAAGGCTTTCAACGTGATTTGGAAGGTTCCTTGAACTAGATAGTGTGTGGTGTGAGCCTACATCTGCTCCCCTTCTTGACCTTGTGTCAAGTAGGCTGCGTCTCCATTTTCTTGAGATTGAGATAAAGTCGATCTGTCTTTTAGTGTGGTGTGTCCCGGTGTCTAGTGAAATCCATGTCGCTTTGTGGATATCCTTGTGCTTGAACACACAGCCTCCAATCACCAAATCGTTGAATTCTGCAAACAGTTCTCCATTCTCGGTCATCATCTCACCGAGTGCTTCTCGACCCATGGTTAGTTCTCTTCCTGTGTTGTCTGCTCCCAGTTTGGCATTCATGTCGCCCATTAGAATTTTGATTGCGCCAACTGAGGTCTTGTCCAGTGTTGATTGCAGTTTTCTGTGGAATTCCCCCTTTTTCTCTTGCTCTGCATTATTTGTAGGTGCATAGAGTAGCATTGTATGATTGTGACTTTCCTTCCTTTTGAGTTGAATCTTGCTGTCATGATCCTGCAGGAGGAGATTGGTTTTCACTGCATGAGAGCCTTCGATGCTGTTGGGGACATCATGATAGGCACCCCAATTTCAGTGTGCTCGTGGTTGTTGTCTGGCTGACAATATCGGAGTAGATTGTTGACTCTCCAGTTGACAGTTTGGAGAGTCCACTCCCATTCCATCTGCTTAACATTAGACATGTTTGATTGAAGGCAGAAATTTTGCATCGTGAACTTTCTCCTATCTAATTTTCGTTACTGGAGTGGTGCATTAAAACACAGGTTAATATTATTTTCGTATATATTTGCTATTATTATGTGTTGTTACTTGCGCTTATTCATTGTTAGACTGTGTCGAATTAACGACTTTGGTTAGCATATGGGCTCCTATGTGGATGCCTTGCTACTGCCTGTAGTTTTGGTTTGATGGTAGTAATGGGTATCGGCTAGCAGTGGGGCCCAAGATCCACCCACTGTGTCAATTGAAGCTCGTTAGACGGACGTTTAACACACACCCCCCCCGCCCCAGGGAGTGTCGTTCCCGCCGAGACTCGAAACCGGTAGCCGTCGCTGCACGCACCAAAACGTAATCCAGTAGGTTACTGAAAAACAACCCCCGTCTCTTTTATCTTGGCTGCCTTGCTTCAGTGACCTAGCAGGTAACACTTTGGCGTTCAAAACAATGCGTACGGGGTTCGAGTCTCAGTGGTAGCATCATCGCTCACTGGGATTCATGTACATCTGACTGATGACTCCCAAAAGGGAAGAAACGCACCACCTGGTTTCCACTGCTAGCCACACCCAAGTTAGTCATACCTTTGCTATAATAATAACAATAGTAATAATAATTTAATGTTGTTTCCGAGAGTAATCCCAAAGGTGTTCAGTTTCAATAAGCTGTTCTGAATAGCTCCCTGACTCTCAGAGGAATCTGATTCATAAATACAATCAGTTAAAAATTTACAGAGTTGACTATCTTTATTCATCTCCACGGAAAGAATGTGTATATCGTAGTCTGAACCTATCATCTAAGTGGATCTTTCTTTACAACTGTTTAATTGTAGATATTTAAAAATGTATCAACACTTGAACATTAAATCGATTTTGTATTCTCTTACTGTACAACTGTTATATTTGCTTTCTTTAAAATTTAGGTATGTGGACCTGTTGACCGATTTAAAAGACTTAAAACGTGAACATAAAATTATCTACATTCTGTCAAAACTTAAGTTTTACGCTCATGTAAGTATAGATTAAGCTATTTTTTTAAGAAAAAAAGGAGTACTATTTAACTCATATTTTGATTGTAACGGTATTTGTGTCAATGTTTCAATATGAAACCTTGAGTGTTGAGTTACAGAGTGCGACCGCACTCCATTGCATTCATACCTCCTAATGTGTAGCGGTTAATAGCTAGGAATCATTCTTACTGATTTATAGGTTTAGGGTGACCTTAACGAAACGCACTCAAGCATATTGTATACATTGGTGTAGCAGTCAATGAGTGGTACACATTGTATGAAGGCTAACGATATTTCCTGGCTGCCCGAAACTTCGGTAGGTGGGACGTGGTACGAACCCGTCATCCACCGGTTAGTAGTCATCTTCCTAAACCACTGGACCACATCTCCATCACTTCAGGTCGACGTTATCAGCTCACGGAGTTGAACTGTTCAAACCAATCAAATCTAGTTGGTTAATTGACCTCAATGTGTCGGTGTAACTTAAATAAGATGATCAGTGTAAAAATAATTTATCAGTTATGAAATTTACAGAACAACCTGAATGCTTTCTTACTACACTTTATCGGTTGTTATAATTTGTTTCGTCAAGGCTAACAGTAAGATCTAATACGCGTGTATCGGCCAACTCAAAACTCGTCAGTCGAATGTACCTGCACTCTAGTGTGATAGTGTCGCCACCGAGACATGTACCCTATTCCCATCGTTTTAAACACCAAAACGCTACCCACTACTCTGAGGAAGCATGACTCTCAACCCTTGTTCAACATGACAGTTTAAAAGTAGAAGACATGATGAGATAACCTCTTATGGACCACAGACGTCTCCAAAGAATTGTTAGCGTTTAGTAGAATCATCCGATGAGCAATGTACTGGTTAGACGAAAGTAACTAGCCAGTCGGTGAAGGTTCACAACCTGATGTGTTTTGCATGCTGAGTCACCACCTACCACGACGTGTCATGTTAACCAAAGTAGGATTTCGTCGGAATAAAGTATAAGATGTTTAAATTAAGACTTGGTACCAGTTCATTAAGTTTCCGACAGTTTCTTCGAGCTAAGTATAGAGATATTAGGTATGTGATGGGTGTGCTTAAGATATCTGGGACCAATGGTTAGAAACTATTGGTGATCACGTTTTATGAATCCTATTGGAAGGATTTAGTTGATATGAATCTGACTAGTTAAACCTATAAGTCAGTGTGATTGGTTTCTAACTACTAGTATTGTTGAACAGCAGTATACGAAATGAAACTTTGTGTCACAGGCAACAGGAAGACGATTTCTAATCACTACTTCACTGACGCAACAATTAAGAGATCTAGGCTGATGAATGAAAGTGAAATGAGAAATTAAGGTGCAGAAAAAATTTGAAACCAGCTACACACAAGTTACCAGCCCGGTGGTCTTTTAAACGACCCAAGTGACCTGGTTACTGGTCAGGGATTAGCTCGCAACTGAGTTGGTACAGCGTAAGACCCTTGAATCCATACGTTGATGATTTGATTCTTGCCATGGTTGAGGTTTTATTTCACCTCCAACTGTCTTATCCCATGATGGGACTCCTCAGCAGTGCGGACCCACAACCCTACCAGCAACCGAACCTGCTGGTAACATCGTAGCCACGGGACCTGAACGTCTTGGGTTTGACCCCAAAGGCATCATGGGTGTGCACTGCTGAGAATAGGTCCTATAATAAGATGAGACAGCTCTCCAGTGCTCCCGGTTTTCAGTGGTTCTCTGTGAGGAATACGATCCTGAAATCAATAAATAAATTCTCACACTCCGCCTAATGTAAATTCGATATTCTGAAATGTCAAAGACTATGATAAGAATACATATTTTAGTGAATGTATTGTAATGGTAATATCTACAAAAGTTTAACATTTTCCTAGCAGAATATCATTATATCTTCTTTTTTGTTTTTTTCTACAATATAGTTGTCACCTAGTCAATTTACTGTATTATCATTCACTCGTGTCCTTCGGTCTTTAACACTATGGGAAATTCTTTCACCGGCAAATGTTGCCGCTATTGATTTCATACGTATGCGTGTTCTCGATATGTCTATTGAAGAATACTTAGATTGGTTGTGTGAAGTAAGCTATATTATTATGTCAGTGTAATTGATTTGTTTTCCATTGATTTCAGTATCTCTGAAGGGTTAGGTTGCCTTGAATGTTGTCCGTCCGCATAGGAGGAACCTTTGGCGCCAATCGTGAATCTTCTATCTTGGTAACTGGTTAACCTTTAGAACTAGACAACACAAAATCAATCACTCTTCAGTGACTAATCAATAAGGATCTGTGTTCTTCCTCGATTTTACGGCAGACCAAAACTATAGAAACCAGACATCCGCCTACGATCGATCCAAAGAACTTTCAAAGAAATTGAAATATGTTGTGAGATCATATGGGCATTTCACAAAATCACCAACAGAATTCTTAGGAAGGATGAAAGACAACGACGTAGAAAATGACAAATTAATGGTGTTTTTCAACGTCACTGCTATGACTGGTAATGCGACCTAACAGTCTAAGAACGATACTAACCTAACGCACTAAGACGAGCAGAGAGGATAGACCGTAGACAGAGAGCTTTTATTGTTTGAACAACAGGCCAATACAGTTGACATTGATGCTGAATAAATACATTTCTAAATGACCTTGACAACATTAAATCTACATTTAGGTTAAAATAGTTAACCAATGAGAGTTCAGCCTTGAAAACAGAGGGTAGAAAAATTAGTAACGGTGTGAAAACAGCAATGATAGGTTATTTTACGATTTCAAGCAGCCATCAGGCAAAAATTATGCAAAATTACTGGTATATGGCAGTCATAGTATTATACACATCAGCTAAGGACTCTATGTCTCTCATCCTCACTGAAAGAACAAGTCTTTCAGAAAGCACAGAACTTCAATGTTAAAGTTTGATGGAATCCACTGATCTTTGTCTGTCGACGTACTTCTAATTTAATGGCTAGATACACAAACAAATGAAAGGAACTTGAATGGAATCACCGATATCCCAACTAACTGTAGAAGCTGTGACACACATCATCAAGTCGAAAATTTGGATCCATTATGTAAATGATACTTTTTTTATCATCAAAGAAAATGATTTCGAAAACACTTACAATTTGATCAACAACATTTTCAATGACATCAAGTTCACAGTGAGGAGAAGAAGTCGATCAGTAAACATAGACTCATTTATATATGAAGCCAACAAACGTAGTGATAACCCAACATCACACAAAGTCAATTGCGAACAAACTTTATTCAAAAGGGCAGAAATGCACTGGAATACAACAACTTCAAGGAGAGAAAAAGAAGATCACCTGATATCTGTCTTAAAGAAGAATGATCACCAATGAAACTTCATTAGAAGATACATGAAAAATGTAACAGAGATCATGACAAGACTACTGTAACCACTTAGAATTAATGTGGTTCATAAAACGATAAATTCACTATCAAACAAAGGAGGCAATAATCAAAGAAGACAAACTGAATATGATTTACAAAGTCACCAGGAATAACTGTAGTCAGTGGACAGAGAAAACACAAAGAATATGATCAGAGACTTCCTAGAAGCTTGACATTCACGTCAATCAGTCAGTCACCAATCAATAGATGTATAGACATAGACCCAATCTATCAACCAATAAGAAAAATGATGAACAATATGAAGGTCAAACGTCAAGCAGAAGAACAGTCAACAGGAAAGTCGATGTAGTCAGTGACACAATCATCAAAGGAAACAAGCAACCACAAACCAGTTGGTCAGGGCAAGCTACTAAATCACTCATTGACGGAGAGATATTGACAGTTCACTTCATACTGAAGTTGGTGGTGATGATGTCGTCTAGAAAGAGGATGAAAGCTCCACGATGATACCGCGCAACCCAGAGAACACAGCACAATCAAGATCATCAAGAAATCAAATCCAATCGAACAAGTGGTTGATAACGAAATGAAGAATTGAGCTACGATGACAGAGGTTTGCAGAGTTTGATTTGAAATCTCACAACCCCATCAACAGACATCACTTTCTTCAGTCTGGATTACTGTTTACTTGAAAATTATACGGACAGAACGTCGTAGAAAAAGAGGAAAGTGGAATAAGATAATGCTGATATTCAGTAGGAAGATTAAAGTGAGGATAATCTATGGATGAATTTGCTCCACTGACATCAATTCTGAATCATGCTACCTTGAGTCTTCAACGATGGATTTCTGCTGCCATATGGACCCCAACTGAGAGATCTTCATTCTTTTACACGATTCAAAGACTTCATTAGTTGAAGCCATTTTTTAACCAAACCACCACCATTTCATTTTGCAGCTTGAATTTACTTAAGCTAACTTTCTATCATGAGGTAGATGCAGATTACGACAATGAAATTAACAGGAAAAATAGAGAATCTTTTATCCATTCAATTGTACCCTTAATAAGTTAAATAGCTCAACCTATTAGATAAATATTTTATCATCGACTAGCCTTAAACAGTACCAATGTAAGATCTTGAGAGGATGGTGAGTATTTGTAGCTTAGAGGATGATGTGAAGATTTCATTGACACTCCAGACAGCATAATCATGAGCACAAACCTCAAAAAGAAGTGAGCTTATAGATTTTCTCAGCAATTTATTCAGTAGATTATCCTGATGGCCTTGTGTGCGATTGGTTGTTTCTTTCAGAGTCTTGTCAATGTCTCTGTGTTTATTTTGATTGGTTGTCTTGATGACCTGAAATTTCACCCTCTTGTCGTTTCTTATTGGTTGATAGATGTGCTCAGTGTTAATATATGTTTGTTGTTACTGACTGACCTGAATACCAAGATTCTAAAATTCTCTGACATTGTTTGCATTTCCTTCATGATGATGTAATCTAAAATGACAATAAAGGCTTCACGATTAAACTATTCAGCGAAGAGGATACAACACCATCAAAAACTAAGATTTTCCAGAGAATTGTAGATCCAAGTGCTTCAGTAATGTATTGCTTGGTTACGGGAGTGTAACCAATTCCATGTTGTTTAGTCACTGAGTGCAGACCGAATCCTATCGATCATATTTGCAATATGGCAACCAAGCTAAGAAGCTCAGCGTCGCGGTGCACATTAGTAGTTGTTAGTTGGTTGGAGGCAATGAGCAGGGATTCCTGGACCTAGATTCCGTGCTTTTTGGCACTCATCTGCAACCTCGACGGAACTGATGTCCCGCCTGAGATCCGAACCTGCGTCACCCAGCTATGTAGTCAGCGACTGCCACTGAGCTATTCCGGCCACGATTGACCTCCTGTAGGACTGGCTTACAAGACTGGGTGATGTGGGTTCGAATCTCAGGCGGGACATCAATTCCGTCGAGGTTGCAGATATGCCTTGCTGACGAGTGCCAAAAAGCACGAAACCTAGGTCCAGGGCTTCCTGTTGATTGCCCTCAACTAACTAACAAAGCTTCAATAATCCATAAACAGATACTCATTATATGCGCAAAACTCAGGATAATTAGTAGGTAAGAAGGTAAAGAAAAGTTTATTGACCGTTATGAAACATGAGAAATGGTATGAAAAGCTGACACTGAAATGTTAACTTGCTGAACATATAATGGTACGTGTGAGCTGACAAAACAAACACACGAGATGACACTACTTGTTATGATTAATAAGTAGTATAAATGTTTAGACAAAAAAGCATGAAGGTGGAAGCTAAACTAGTGGATATGTATCAATACACACCGATTTACCAATCACTAATATACACAGGTCACAAGCAATTGTAAATGAAACCACACCGTTTCTTAACAGTAAGAAACCTTTAGTTGAGTTGGCTTGTTAAAAAGTAAACTGTATCCATGAAATATGTAGTTATGTGTAAAGAAGAAATGTTAAATATTAATCATGAACTAGCATAAGAATCTAGGACCCACGTTTCGTCCCATGTGGGACTTTTCAGCTGGATGTGCCTGCCTTCAGGCGAGCAATGATGTCTCCACTAAGACTCGAACGCCATATCGTTTTAAATACAGCCACTAGATGATGTTAGCCACTTGAGTATATACATTTAGTTTTGTCTACCATGCTCCAAATCTATTATTCATGATTAGAATGTTGACTGACTGAAGACATCATAGGGGATAATTCTCTTCGCCAACCATTCATTTCTTCAAAGAGCTGAATGGTGATATAAGTGTGACATGAATGTAAGTCTCAATGAGAACAACGAACTGAACGCGAAGTGTTGCCTTTCAATTAGCTCCTGGTTATCAGATCTACGCCAACATGTACATTTCTTGTATCACTGCAAAATGAAAAAGAGAACACCGTTGGTTGTTGGCTACTGATATATTGAAAGAAAGAAAAAAAGACATTCAGAGCGTGATAATTGATGCCCTAGAAACAAGGATAACAATTAAGAAGACAGAATAATAATTGTATACAGTGAAATTGTGAAGGGCATAGAAGGTGCTTCCAAGAACAGGAAGAACAAACATTGTGGATATGAATCGACTTCACTTCTTGCTGTCTAAATCTTCCACATAAACACTAAATTTATAAAATCGTGTGTAGTAACATCAACCTGGAAAACATATATATAGATGGGAACAGAGATGAATGACAAAGTTCACGACCTAATCAATCCAACCAATACACAGAGCAAGTAACCTGTTGGTTCGGATAACAACGAAAGCTTCACGATTAAACAATCCAGCTCAAAAAACGTCACTTCATCAAAACTATCCTCCTGTGCTACAAACATTCTCCATCATCTCAGATTCACTTTTTATTTGACTAGAAACACTTTCCTATCACTAGTAGAAAGTGAATTGTTCCTTGACTAAGACTGAGAACTTGAAATGAATGCCTGCATTGCACCTACTGGAGGCTACTCAATTTCACTAAATCTTAGTGAATTCTTCAAGTGTTTAGTTAGTTGTGAAAAGAAATAGAAAATAATCATCAGAGGTTGTTGAATGGCATGATTAAGTAAACAGAAGATAGGTGGAACAAAAAACTAAGTTAATATTACTGGAAAAACCAGAAATGACACTCATCACTTGGATGTAACTGCCTCTTAGTGCCCAACCAACTCAGCGATAATCAATCACTGATGGTGAATTTCAGTCTACAACATTAAGATAGTAATATACTGAAGAGTTAAGATAGCTGGGTTGCATAAATTATGACTATCTGATGACTATTTCTTCCATTCTGCATGAAACATTGTTTGAGTCTACAAGTGTTAAGTGTAATCAGTTAAGTAAAATCTGAAATTTATATCATATCAACATCAGTTAACACAGTTCCCCCAAACACATCGATTAGCCGACCCTCAGTTTCAAGCATGTTCACCTACTGGTTCTATGACTATCGACTGACTGACTTACGGACCGACAAAATCAACGTAGAACCTTGCACAGAGGTCCGTCATCCCGAATTGGCACACTTCACAGTAGTATACAAAGTACAGGTGGATAGAATAAGAAGGATATCAATGGAGACAATGCTGTGTAAGAGAATAAACAAGGTTAGTGCAAATATTCAAGCTTTAAGCGATATGAAATTGTGACCGATTTTCAACTATCTCACCAATAATCAGTACTCAATCACTGATTCCTATCATCTTAGCTAACTCAACCAGGCAACCTGCATCTTTCTATTACCGATAAGGCATTAAAGTGGTAAATAAAACTGTAGGAAAGGAATAGTTCACCAAAGCAATGTGAGATGAACTAAAAACCTCTTCTGTACACATGAGTTTGGTTTCAGTCGATGAATTGCTGTTACTTCTGCTTCTGCATCTATTACGTGAAAGGTATGCTTGAGTCGACAGCATCACTTGATTGAGGATATGTTTACCGTTAGCACTGTTTGATGCCCTTTCACCTGTCAATAAGAAGCTTTTTTCAGCACATGTGCACAGATTCACTTAGTAACGTCCCTCTCCATTGTTCCAACATGCATTAACATAAACAAGTTGGTTGCAGACGAAATCTCAACTCGGATACAGAAAACCCGTTTAGCATTTGGCAACTTGCATCATCTGTGATACCGACTGTCGAGATATCCGACTATGTGCTAAAAGACTAGTATACAGTGCTGCAGTTCCTTCTGTCCTGTTGTAAGCCTGTGAGACACTGTTGTTCAAAGTAGAAGATATGAAGTGGTTATAGATTTTTGATCACAGATATCTTCGTAGCATTGCTCGTGTTTGGTTGGATCACCGTCTCAGCAATGCTCAATAACTTCTCACAAAGTCCCCGAATTCAGTTGATGTAGTGCTCATTTGTGACTAAGCATCGAGGGGTGATTCTCAAAGTACTAATAAGAAGTCGTGACCAGTGCGGCAAACCTGGTGGATATGAGGACAAATACTCAAGGACGACATTGGGTGATGGTCGCGTTGTATCGTGAACTGACAGAAGTTGGAAATATGAACCATTGGATTCCGATCTAGTGGCTCAATGGTCACGGAACCTGAATTTCTTGAGTTCGATCCCTGGTGGAGTGGGGTGGGGTCATGGGTGCGGACTGCTGAGGAGTCGCACACTATGACGAAACAGCTGTCCAGTGCTTTCAGGTTTCCAATGTTCCTCTAAATGATATGAAGAAGAATATGACAAGAAGTTAAAGCTCCTAGATGTTCTGTTTAGTAGACGAGGAGATACATGACTTTGTAGAAGCGTGTACACCTACATCCTTAGTTCCGCACAGATACAATACGAAAGAAAGTTAGTGAAGTGTTTGGCAGCCAGAGCATGGAAATCTGTTCAAACAACAGTTTATACAGTGAGTTACAGTGAATTTCCAATTCATTAATTGAAATAGGTTATCCTCAATATTTTATCAAGAAACATATGAATAGATCACGGAAAAGAAATGATTATTCATAAACCTACAATTTAATGAGGATATATACTTAGTGAAATTCTATTTCCCAGACTATTGATAATCATTATTCATCTAATCTTTGATTAACGTTTTCAAGTTGATGAAATGTTTCATGATGAAAGAAGGACAAGTTATTGAGGTTCCGTCACTTCAATATGTGTGTATATATCACATTAATGGCTCCTGTGGAGATAGTTACATCGGGTGTACGACCTAAGTAACTTCACTAACATATCACAGAGTACTTATGTCTGTAACTGCGAAATAAGACAATTTAACTGTATATGAAGCTCTAGTTAGTAGTCGTTGCAAAATAGATGAAACAAAAGCCGGCAAAGGGACTTATCACATCCTATCAAAACCATACCGATGGAGTTTCAACTTGCCTTTGACATATAACTGAACCTATTGAAGTTTGAAGGTTTGTAGTCAAAAGAAATTTGTTCAGCTTTTATTTCTACCTGCCTTGATCAGAAGAGAGCTAATGAATGACCTTACCGATTGATTTTTATTTTATTTTGTTACCGCTTACACACTACTATCTGCTGCTTTCATCCTTCACTATTACACAACATTATTGTCCCTTTCCAAAGACAACCTCGTCATCGTTGACTTAGAAATTACCTTGATCGATTCATATTCTGTTATTATGTTATTAGATAAAGACGCTGACAAAATACAGGGTCTTATGAACGCATTGAGCATATATCCAAGTATGTTTGACATACGTTTTGCTTGTACCTGTTAAATATGTGGTTGAATATGTCAACCACTTCACTTACTTGAGAAGTTGCATCTGCCCGAATAGGTTGTTGGTTGACGACGAAATTTCAGCTCGGATACAGAAAACCCGTTTAGCATTTGGCAACTTGCATCATCTGTGATACCGACTGTCGAGATATCCGACTATGTGCTAAAGGACTAGTATGCAGTGCTGCAATTCATTCTGTCCTATTGTATGACTATGAGATACGGCTGTTCAAAGTAGAAGATGTGAAACAATTACTGGGTTTCGGTCACAGGTGTATTCGTAGCATTGCTTGTGTTTGATGGGATCATTGTCTGAGTAATGCTGAATTCAAGCGAAGGGTTTATAGGCAGGACAAGAAAATCGATTGATGAAATTGTGAACCTTCATCGATTGAAGTGGCTTGGACATGTGTTGAACATACCGAGTCATCAGCTACTTCAACGTATCATGCTAGGAGAAGATAGATTAGGTTGGTACCAGTCGATGAAGTCTTTCACTGTTGGTCATTGTCGTGTGGGACACATGTAGACTGCCTCGTTGAGGTCTACAGAATGACAGCAACCAGTGATTGAGGACTGACTCTTAGTGACATGTCTGAGCACTGGTCAAAATGACATCTTTTAAAGCTTTAGTATTCTCCTCTTACCTTTATCTTCCAATTGTCTGTTCTGTCAGAAAACTTTATCTGCTTTGATATCAACCTATCCAGTTGTTCCTTGTATACAACTGTGAAGTATACCAACTAGAGGCGATACACTTATGTATGACATTCTACGTTGATTCTGTCTATCTTTCCTTGTCGTCCATCTGAAAGTTATGTATACACATTAGGGTGAAATATGATGAAATCGAATTGGAAACAATATTTTTTCGCTTACTAAGAGAAAACAGGAAATATAAGTGAATAATTTTTCTACTATGAAGTATAAAAATATTAATAGGTTTTCTGTTTTCTCCCTTTTTTTCCATTCTCTTTCTTATAGGTACATCCAAATATCAAGGAATGTATTACTAATGAACCAGAATTCTGATATCTTTTCCATTTCATATTCAAAACGAATAGTGAAACAGAGTCAGGAAAAGGGTTTTTTTTCAATCAAGAAAAATTGAATAACTTTTATCTATCATGAAATTTATTTACGTCTATTGTTTATCATTATTATTATTATTGTTTTCAATCCCTTAGTGTTGTACGTTTCATTGATGATTCCCATAGATGAAATGGTTGGTTATTTCATTCAATATATCTTCTCTCTAACCTCTTGGTGATATTTTACATCTCGTGTACTTGATTAGATTGGGTTATTCTTATCCAAAATAGAATTAAATTAGAAGAAAAGTTTGATTTAACCAAATAAAAACATTGGTATGTCTCCATGATACATCTGACTATTGATTTGAGTTCTATAGAGATATGTGAACTACTTGATTGGCTTCATCAACATGTTAAGTATTAAGGATTGGAAACTATAAGTGATATAGTTAAAAATCGATTACACTGGTGTGATTTGTTGAAGGGTTTAAGCGTCCTGATTAGCCTTCTCTTCATGTGTACACTTTCATCTACTTTAATATTTCTTGTTTCTTTTTATCATCACTTTCTTCTATAAATCCTCTTATGAAAGGGTGATTACTTTAAGTAATATATTTCTATGCCAGACTCTACGTTAATTTGTCTGTCTACTATTCTTGGAGAGTGAACTATCAGTTTTCGTTAAACCACTTCAAAATCTTGTATAAAAATGTGTCACAATTCAAGTTGTTACACTCTACAACATTATAGAAAGTAGATATGATAGTTTCTGGAAGAGGAAGTAGTAATGAAGCGATTCTTCAGTGAGAAGATTCATAAAAGCTTTATTGATTGATGCCTTGCTCAGAAAAATATTGAATTTTTTTAAGGGTTTTCCTTTTTTTGTGATTAGTGTGAGTTTCATTTCATCTACTCTTTGTTCTATTTGACTTTAGTGTGAATTAACTTGTAGATGATTGACTTATCCATGTGTTGGGCTCGAACCTGACCCCATATGAAGCGGATCACAGAACTGATTAGTTACTATCACCTACTCTTAGTCAATAGTTAGTCTTCATTGTCTCGTATACAAAACTGTATATGACTGTCATATTTCATTGTGTTGTGTTTGCTTAACTCCAAATAATCCGCCATACATTTGACATTGTCAACTTCATTATTTTGAAAATGAAAACATCATTTCGATTGCTCTAAAGATTTTTACCGTTATAATTACTACTAGGTTTCTTCGAAAGGTGCATTTTATTTATTTGTACGTTTGAATTTGCCGTTTTCGCGCTCTATTTTTTGTTTGAGTCTTCTCACACTTTTCAAGGTCAGTTTCTTTTGTAATACATCTCTACTATTAATATTGAGCAAGATGCAGTTTCATACATGTTTACACGTGTATTATAACGTGTCTTCATTGTAATGATGGATAGTGGTTAACAGTGTAATCCAGGATGCATATTTCTTCCTATTTGGGACTCTTCAGCTGGATGTACCTGATTCTCAATGAGTGATGTTGTCCCCACCGAAATTCAGACTCGGGAGCGATCACTTCAAACGCCAGAGCGTTATCCACTACACTGCCGAGCCACCATAGCCACTTCTTGTGCAACGGGTATAGTTTTTATAGTATATATAATTGTTTTTATATAATACTGTCGTTGATTGGACCGAATTGATCGGTCTCTATTCGTATATGGGATCCTGTGCAGATGCCTCGATATTACCTGCTCTCTTATGATAGTAATGATGGATAATGGCTATCAGTGGAATGCAGGATGCGCATTTGGTCCTATTTGGGACTCGTCAGCTGGATGTACAAGAAGTGGCTATGGTGGCTCGACAGTGTAGTGGATAACGCTCTGGCGTTTGAAGTGATCGCTCCCGAGTCTGAATTTCGGTGGGGACAACATCACTGAGAAACAGGTACATCCAGCTGACAAGCCCCAAATATGACGAAATGCATATCCTGCATTCCACTGATAGCCACTATCCATCATTACTATCATAAGAGCGCAGGTAATATCGAGGCATTTGCACAGGATCCCATATACGAATAGAGACCGATCAATTCGGTCCAATCAATGACAGTATTACATAAAAACAATTATATGTACGTGTCTTCATTGATTGGTCTGTGTTTGTGTACAGTGTTGAATTTACTGGTGTCAGCATCTCAGTTTATTATCTGAATACTTGACAAATACTTGACTTAAGCCGATAAATCCAGACGATGGTTTTAAATTTATCTGCCATGTGAAAACTTAGTTTTATCTCTTCAGCAATTTATTCTTTCGTGTACACTGGTGATTGACTTTCTCTGACTGGCTAACTAAAAGAAGTTTGTCTTCTCTTTAAGTGCCTTGAAGAACAAATGGATGGCGGCGTTAGATGGTGGAGGTCAATCTACAGGAAGTCTTGCACTATCAAGGTTTTATCCCTGTTGACACTTATCAATGGGGAATATATGAAGCGATGAGGAGACGGATGTTTCTCAGATAATTTGAACTCGCATCAAGAGGATTATTTACGCTATTTGTTCACCTTCCCATCCTCTAACATTGTACAGTAGAAGACATAGTCTAATGGTCTTCTTCGTTTCCGATGAGTCATAGATAATCCTTAAGAGGTGAAATGCTTAATTTCATAGAGAGAAAACCACCTTATTCACAAGAATTGAATTCACTTAACATGCAGCTATTTCAGAACTATGAGTGTTACAGAAATAAATGAGGAATCAGTCAAGAGCTATGGAGTCAAGCTATACAACTACATCGTAAAAGAAATCTGGAGCAGAATATCTCTTTACAGACGACCACTTAGATTGAAGCAAAGATTGAAAAAAGCGTACCATTAATAGATCAATGAAGTCAAGGTCAAGGTCATTAGTCTATAGATCCACTTAAAAATTTCACTTTATTTTTATCACACATCCGCGCTGAAAAAGTTGGTCTAAGGGTTTAAAACTAAGGTTGTGCTTAAGTAGTATTATTTACAGTCTAACAAAAAAGCAGAACTGACAATCACCTGCTCATTCAAGAAAAATAAAACCAATTAGTCGCTATTTCGTTGTCTAGTATGATTTAGATTAGAAATATTCTCATCTTATAAGAATTAATCTCATAATTTGTATCCCTGATGAAAACATTTTTGATTGCCGCTCACCTGATTGGTCAGTTGGGTTTTGATCAAACTCGAATGTGATTGGCTGTTACTAATGCTTAGTTGAACTGGCCAATCATAAATAATCATACCAACTGTTCATTTAATATGAATGCATAAATCACTTTCTTCTGATTATGAGTACATGAACATCAGTCAAATGGATATTTCTGAAGTTGCCTCTACATATATGACATTTGTGTAGTCACTACTCGCTTCAAAACACCTGTAGTACAGTAGTACAAACTGTATAGCTTCACTTTAGTTTGTGTTCATTAGATGTTTCGCATAGTGAAAGAGTTTCACGAACTGGGTAACGTTTCGAACACAATTTATGCTCCATAATCGTGTCAGGTTCATATGTGTTCAGGTCAAGTTCAAGTCGATCCGTTTTATGCTGCAAATATTACCACCAGATTGTATGAGAAGTATACTACTATTGAACGGTATGAGTAGTGAGAAACCACTCAAAGTAACAGCCATTTCGCTCGTTTGGGGTCGATCTCATCAGCTGTATACTCGGACAAATTCAGCTCATCGAGTCGAATAAGTTGATCATCGAATTTAAGTTGTTAGTCAACTTTATTCAGCTTCACTTCCTTGGCGCATCTGTTACATGCAAGTGAATCATACCTCAACTCTGTATGTCTGATGAAGTTGAGTGATTCACCCAGCATAGCTCAACGACATGTATAAATCTGTTCATATCAATCAACAATGAAGATTCTGATGGGATTTCAGACAGTTTTAGTAGCAAACGGTGCGATACATATTGGAACTAGTTGTTTTGTGTTAGTGATTACTACGGAAAGAGTTGGTTGGTATTTGTTGGCATAGTAAGCTACTCTGTGTTTTCTTCGATATAGCTGGCTAGCAGTGGACACTAGGACATACGTTTCCTCTTGCTTGGGACTCGTCAGTTGGATGCAACTTAATATCAAATGAGACCATTGTCTAGCCTGAGGGATCTTCACAAGAGCCTATATGTAAAGAGAGGCCGATAAATGCAGTCCAGATCAGTCCACGACAGGAAATAACAAGCTTTAGTGTTAAACTATACCCGTTGCACAAGGAGTGCTTATCATAACTAAACGCCCACTGGATTACACTATAATGTTACCAGCTACGGGTGCATGCTTAGAGTCTCAGGGAGTCAGTGCATACAGCTAGACAACATGAAATCGGTAACCGCTTAGTGATGAGTTTATGTATCTAATCTAGTCCTAGAGGATTTCAATGGTGGCCGGAATAGTTCAACCGCAACACATGGTAGTGTATTTTCGATGCGCTGAGTAGATATATCCTGCTGACGAGTGCCAACAGGCACGAAAAGCATGTCAACCAAAGTTTCTTAAAGTTTTCCTTCAACCAACTGACAAAAATCATTAATAGATGTATCAGCTCTATCCCAGATCAGTTCTGAGGCATTTCTCACAAATTATAAAACCTTCTGATTCACTTGTCAGCAACTTCATCTATACACTTTAGATCAGTAGTCAAGAACCTCATGGACTGATGTTATTCCTCGTTCTGGCCATAATCATTTACACTTTGACCAAATGATTGATACTGCAGGCGGATGAATGATGGTCACCCTACTGGGGTTCAAACTCGGAACACACCATTTTAGATGCCAAAACACCGCCATACGTAGATGCACACAGAAGGCTCGATCACAGTTTTCTCATGATATCCGTTTGCTCATAAAGGACCTGGTGCACCACACAGTAGCATACTTTAAGTCGTGACCATTAAAGGCCGAGAGAATGTTGGGGGACTGTGTTGATCGACCACTGACAGAAGAAACTAGTCATTCGATGACGTTGTGAAATTTCATCAACTTAGGTG